TAATTAGAAATTAATCTGTGAATTGAAAGCAACAGTGCTAGAGCATGACATTAAGACCTTTATGTTGATATCTATGCGGATGCTGTCGGTGTAAAATTTTGTCACTGCATGCATCTGTGTATCTGATCTTATTCACTGAAAACATTGTTACATATTTATTATAATGCTGTATATGCTTATTGGATGAAAATATCTCTTTTTATTACAGACAAACCCTCTCTACTTTTTTATTATGAACAAACATAATTCAAGTGCTAATTAATATTCACCAATTTCCATTCATGCCAATGGTATTTGGCTTGAATTCTGGCAGCTAATATTTATTTATTGTTTTTTTATTGTTTATATCTAGGTGTAAGGTATTTGGATTTTAGTTTTGATATTGATATTACATTTTCTACACATCAGATAATGGTATAAGCTAGAGGCAGATACTGTATAATAGTCTCACTTGCAAAATCAGTGTATGATTAGAATAACAGTCTGTAAATTGCCTGATATCTGAAATAAAATGTTTGGGGAAATAATGTGTGAAAAAATGAATGACTAATGCATGACTTTTCCATCAAAATCCCCTAAAAATATTGACCGCATTTTATTGGCTTAAATCTGCATTGCTGATAAACGTAACTGTCTAAATTGACACTGACATACAGGCAAGAACCAGACATCATTCTGAATAATTAGGATTATCATCTTCAGAAAATTACAGAGGTAGTCACTTATTTTCAACCAAATATGACCTAGTGAAGGACTTTAGATTTACTTTGATTAGTGCCATTGTGGGATTTCTGCAAGTGCTTCTGTCACTCATTGCTAAATTTCACTAAAATAGCACCCATATAAACCAGCAAGTTGTCAAGAGATATGAAGGGATTTTTTTAGTAAGAAATTTCAGAATTATCCTGACGAATTACTTAAGGGAAAATGTGGAATAATATTGTCTGTGATAGGCTATAGTTAATGCATTGTGTTTTTCTGTCTGAAATTGAGACTGACTAATCTAGCTTAAATTCAGGTCAGCTCTTTTTTTTTATGACAGTCCCATCATTTTCCAGACCTAAATTGTCTCATTTTCTCATGATTTTGTTTTGATCAGTTTCACCACCAGAGGACGGAGTTTGTCTCACAAACATATCACTTCAGCGGCTGTATGCCAAATGGTCTTGGGGTGCGTTTCCCGTACGGTAACGAACTCGCTGCTTGTACTACTTGCTCGTCACGACTGTTTCCCGACATTGTATTGTAGCACATTTGTTGTTCAACCACGTTGGTTAGTAATGATGTCACGCCTGTGGTGGTGGAGTAATTATAGGCTACTTATTTTTTAATTAATCGGTTTGAGATCGAATTAATGCTAGATTTTTTTTGCTATAAATTACGGACATCATGTGACATGGCATCTGAGGACTAATTCTCATTTTCTAATTTTTCTTAGTTATTTCTAAAAGGACCTGAAAACGAATCAGCGGAGGTCAGGTGTACAGAGGGCGGAGCTCTTCCGAGTTTACACGTTGACGCTTTTACAAGCGTTTTTATGTAAAGTAGCCTAATTACGGTAATTACAACATGCTGTCAATGCACCTTTTTATGTGCTTTTCATGGAAAAACGTTTTTGAATGAAATCAGCACAGGGAAGAGGTCAAACCAAATACGATAAATTCAACAAAAAAATTAGCTCTAAATCATCTTCACAGCTCGGTTTCAATATGAATGTGAAATATAAATGTGAGGAAAAAAACACTTCACGCTCAAACTCTCTTATGCAAGTGATATGTGCATGTGTGTTTACACCTCGTTACATGTTACCGGCAGTACACTCCCCTCACTAACATGTTTTATCTTTTCTTGTAGCCTATACTGTCTATGGTTTTATCTTCCCGCACGTTTGGAGATCACAACACAGCTTATTCAGATAGGGGGGTGACTTCTTCTTAAGTAACCTGAAGAATTGCAGATGCTAAATGAAAGCAGAAACCTTTGAAATGATCGAACTGTTTATTAACCCTTTGATGCACAAGCTATGCAAAGCCCTCTAAAAAGACCCATAAGGTCTTTCTCTGGCTGGAGTCGTCAAGGGCGGAAAGGCACCCGGAGGACCTCGCACCTGTCGAATAGCTGACGCTTGAGAAAACTTACCTGCTACCCACCTGTCCTGGGGAGAGAGTCCTCGCCTGGCCCGTGGTCCCGGCCCTGGTCTGCCCAGACCGTTGTCCGCCTATAATTCGCCGAAAAGAGCATTCTTACCACGTTACTTACCTGCACGCCAGACGGGCGTTCGGCTCCCTCCTCCTCTGTGGCTGCCAGTAGTCCGGGCCCTCGCAGCGCACCCCTCGGTCTCCTCCTCCCTGGAAAGAGAGACGAAGCCCATATTAAGACTTTTAATTTCTGCTTTTATTTAAATAAAGATTGTTACTTTTAGAAAATCTTCTTGTCTGGTTTCTGGTACGCTCCTCGAGGTGGTCCTGGGTTTTGAGGGGTGGGCGCAGTCTGGCTTGGCCCCCCCGACCTGTGACATGTTGTGCAGTGAAGTTGGTGTAGGCATTGAGGGTGGCAACATTCAGCACATTGTAGTATTGGATCATTTCTGATTTTTTAACTGTTATCATCCACTTTTTTTTCATCATGCATGGTGCTCAGGAGGACAACTGCCTTTCCCTTCTTCGACACATAGCTTACCATGGTCATGTTACCATTGAATCCAAATTCTGAGCTATGCTTCTCCCTCAATTTGGATGGCTTTATCATGACAGGCGTTATGTCTGGCTTGTTCTGGGGAAGAGTCAATTGACAGACGTAAGGGGTGACCGATATAGCATTGATTTATGCTATTATCAAATAAAAATGACGAAATATGGAGATACAAGGTTTCCGCCCAACAGCGACAATTTATACTTGTATAATAACGGTCTATTTCAACTTGTATTTTGTTGGCCTAGCTAACATTAGATAGAATAGAATATGTCAACACTGATACTTTTACTGATACTTCATTCAAGGTGTAGGCCTAATGTCGCCAATTTAGATAAATGCTTTCATATAATGCAGAAAAAGAGAAACATTACCAGAAAAACACGATAAAACGTTTCCCATCTGAGGTAATAACTTTAGCTCCCATACAAGGATGCAATATAATAGTAAGATAAGTTAGCTTCGTGTTTCCCAGTGAGCATAAACAATGGCTCTGTCGTAAACAAATCTAGTCAAAGTTGTCAATGGGCTGAATGAACATTCAAATTCATAACAAACAATTGGTGAAAACAATCATTCACACAAACTGTCGCCCTACCGTGAGTTTGCTTGATCATTTACAATAGAGATCGATAGCTAACGTTAGCTGCTAGAAACCTATAATGTTGTATTCACCAAAGTTAGCACTTACTGCATTGTTCTAGCTAATTATATCCTAGTGTTTGTTAGGCGAACATGATCGTCCATTTAGAAAAACCAAACTGGATTTACCCAACTGTCCAGCAAAAACAGAGCTACCTGAGTTGGCGGAGTTCTCGCCACCTTTCAAAGGCTTTTCCAATTCGGGACTTCATGCGTTCCTTCTCCTTTTCCCTCTTCTTTGCATTTTTGCATTCTGTTCATCGGAAAGTCGTGTGTCGGCCATATTAAACTTAAAGAGTTATAATTCTAACTTCCCTCTTCATGCTTCTCTCTCCTGCACACCCCCCTTCATGTGTACGCGCACTAACCCCCCAAATCATTCTAGTCGGTTATTGGCTGGAACACTGTTTGTTTTGTTTCGTGGAGCGGGTTGGCCCAGTTTGTTTTTGTTGCCGTTTGTGGAGCCTGGGGTGTCTACAGAGACCGCGTTTTTTTACAGTGTGTTCAAGGGACAGCCAGCTAGCGGATAGTGAGGAGATGTTTACTGTATGTTACAAAAAATGTTTAGGTCTAAAAACCGCGTGGCATCGCTTAGAGCACCTTTAAGAAAAGATAATTTAGTCTGAAAGCAAGTCCTTCTTTTCAGCAGGTCAAGTTTTCAGCCATTTAATTTTATTGACCCGATGGGTCTGAGAAAACAGAGAGAGGCCATGAATAAAATTGCCTCACTGAATCCATTCTTCCTTTTGTAAATGCAGTATACTTAAATGTCAGTTATTTTATCCGGTAAACTAAAGGAAATGTGAAAAAAAGCTAGGTTTTTATGTTTCTACATGCCATTTCCTGGAGTCTTACATTCCACATTTTATGGCAGAACAGTGTCATTTCTGAGAATATTTTAGTCATGGTAGCCTATTATGACATGGGCGTGTTTTATGTTTTAGTTTCCACTCACTTAAGACATAATGCACAAGGACTATGTAGACCTTTGTACCAGTAAACATTCCATTGCAACCCTAAATCCATTCCATTTACAACCCAGACACTTCTTTTATAACATTATGACAATAATTAAATTACATATAGATTACATGGCACGAGAAGTGATGACAAAAAAATGATATTTTGAGGATATTTTGACAATGAATTGGTTAGATGAATTGGCGAGTGCTTTCCCCTGCCTCTGGCCTAAATAAACTGCGATAGGCTCATGAGCCTAGAAGGTCGCATAAGGAAATAGATCAGTGTATGAACCTATCAGTATCACAATGGCATATCAATAAATGGACAGACAAAGAGAGAAACTGGTAGCAACATTTTATTTTTATTTTACATTATACAATTTTGACCGAGCAAGTCAACCATTTACAACATTTATTATAAATGAACACATTTTATTTCACAAAGTCAACAAAAAAGGTTTAGCTAGCATATGCAAAATGTATAAATATTAACTAAAAACATATATACATTTTTTTTTTTTACTTTTTCCTTACGCTCATTGTGTGAGGGTTCATGACCCTATAAGACGTGTTCAAAATCCCAACAGAATCACAGATTATCACATCTGTGACATTTTCCTCCTCACTTTGCATAGGTAGCATGAGTAGTAGTCCTTGGAAAAAGTCAGGAGAATCCCACTTTGCTTCTTATTTTTCCTTTAACCGGTCCAAGTGCTTGAGATACTGTGTGTGGTGGTGAGATCATGATTCATGAATGTGAGGGTGAGTTTGAGACAGATTCTGAATATGCAGGAGGGGGTTCCAGAGGGGAGGCTTCAGGCTTCAGTAACTGCAAAATAAATTTTGAATCCTCGTTATCTTTAAAAACATTTCAGGACAAGATTCATTCAATGATGGTGTAGATATTCGACAATATCTCCACGGTTACCTCGTGATAAGCCGGAGGGGGCTCGTACTCGTAGAACTGCACGGTGCTGTAGCGCGGCGGCCTGTGCAGCTCATCTTCAGACATAGAGATCGGAATGACGTACACAGACGGATGATCCACGGCTCGATCTTGACCCTGCAGGCGCTCCACGCGCTCCTTACGGGCCCGCTGGAAGATTTTACAGAAGCCAGTACAGCAGATTGACAAAAAGGTAAAGGTTATGATTGGTGCGAAGATCCTGAAACAACAACGACAGCATGAGAGAGAGAGTGAGCATGTGTGCTGATGTCATTGCTGGTGATGATAAAGAACATATTATAGAAAGGATGGACTCTCATGGATTTTCACATTTCCGGAATGAGGAAGTAAACCATAGTAAATTTTTATAGGCTACTACAGGTACATAAGAAATGTTGTTATAGTTTTACAATCTCCAAATGAGATAAAAAAAAATCTGGTAATGCGTTTTCACGAATTTCCAAAAAGTGAAAAAATATAAGATTGAAGAAGAACATAAAGACACACACACAGACACACGGAGACTGTTTTATCACAATCTGCAATTTGTTATGGAGAGCATTGAGAGCAGGTATACATACTTTAATATTATAAACGGATCACTCATATCCATGGCAATGAAGAAATTGCCAATTCAGAAGCAACTCTGTAAGGAAATAAATCACATTTGGTGATGACAGCTTTAATTAGTCTGTGATCAACAATATAGGCCATATACATGGGATATTGAAATCATTGTGGGGTTTTCGCAAACTGTTGTAACTCAGGCATTATCCTATGGCAGACTGGACAGGTATGAAAAAGAAGCAAGAGCTTAATATTCATTACAGTCTTTCATCCAACATTTAAGAGGCGGGTTTTTATTGGACAATTTTAAATTAATCTTTCAAAATGCCAACAAGCAAACTAAAAACCATTTAGCACCATTAATTCTATTAATTTATCTTAGAAATAACTTTTTTCTTTTGTAATTCTTTTCTGGAATTCCACAAAATATAATTTGTAATACGACAGGATGCTATATCACTTAAATGTTAAGAAAATACAGGTTTTCCAGGTCCTATTAGATCTTTAATGTCTTACAATGAATGTGTGAATATTTAACTGTCTTTAAACACCATAATAAACTTTTGTAACCTAATGAGTCAAGACAATGATGCAAGATGTCTTGCTAACCGGAAATGTCCTAGTTCAGTATTGAGGACAGATGTAAAAGATCATTTTTCAGTCATCATCCACAGTCATCCACAGTTCAAATTTTGTTTTGTTTTATTAAAGAACTAGTTTTAAACACAACATATTGTCAATTTCCATTCATAATTTGGCATTTACTGTAAGCCAGGGCCATCAAAGTCATCTATCTATGGAATGGCCAACTCATTGGTCCCAAGGGAGATAAAACAAAATTGGTCCCAGACCCCTTTACATTTAATGAACTGTAGGCCCACAGCAACTCAGGAGGGTCCCGCTTTTTTGTGCTACACACCCCTTCAACACCCATCAAGAAACCCTTCCACTGACACTTTAAAAGCATGTTGATTTCTCCTTTTTTCACTGACTGCCAGCAGTGTTTAAGACAACACCTGTCATTTCCAGCGATCAAAAGAATCAGAGAATCTCAAAATATAAGAAACTCTTGACAATATAAAAAAAGTTTTGAACTGTTGAAAACTTCTGCCCTCAACATTAGGATACAGATCAATATATTTATACAAGCCTGTCACATGTCTGTGATATAAGCATAGGTGACCATCATACACACTTTATTTATGTAGTAAGTGAATTTATTTCTTAAATCAAGCGGGTTTTTAAGCACCTGACTGAAAAACAAATAAAAGTCTTACCTCAAAGAACACAGGCGATTACGGCAAAAATGTAGAGACTGTGTGCACTGCTCTGATTTGAGACTGAGTCTTATCTGAGGGAGGGTTTATAGCGCTGATAGTGAAGTTTCAACACCTTTATGGTGACTGTTTCCTGTAGCAGGACATTGTCTTTGCAGCACTTTATTCATTTGAATCACCACCGAGCAAGTGTTCTTCATTATTTGTTTTTGTTTATTAGAAGATGCTTTTTCACTTTTTACCTCAATTTATCATTAAAGAACAGTCATTATATTGTCTCTCCCTGTTGAAAATGAAAGCTTAGATTAACATGAATTTCCAGGTTGCAAGTCCAGGCTGCACTGTAAAAGGTGACCACTTGACTAAAAGTGAGGAAACCCATTGCCTTGAAATTATTAAGTAAATAAACTTTATGCATAATTGAAAAAATTAAGTTATGCGAACTTGACAATTCCACATAACTTTTTTTTTTTTTTCAGTTACGCATGAAGTTTATGATCAGATTAAGTCAACTTGTCCTTTTTTTAGTGTGGTTTGTGTTGTTTTGGAACAACTGGCGAAGCAGCATGTACTTTCTGGCAAAGATTGAACAAGGAAGTCTTACTATTTAATCCAGCAAAGATGCTTGGTGAGGACCAGCATCCAAAACATTATTTGCTGTCTACAAATGCCTCCAAATCCCAAGAGTTTCTACTTTTATTTATGTGAAAATAAAGAGAAACACATTTAGGTTGACAAACTTTGGACAGTTTAATAACTTTTTCCATTAACCTGAAATAAACATTGTGAAACAGTCTAAAAGAGAATAAAAAATGAAAATAATAAGGCTACTGGTGCTTATGAGCCAGATTTGTATAAGGAGTGGATAGTTATAATTGACATAAAACAAATTAAACTTTATTCCCAGACATTAATGTTAACCGTTTATTGATTCTATGGACTGTAAATGCTAACTTGGTTCATGAAATTGTTACTGAATTGTTGGGGGGGGGGGGGGGGGGGGGGGGGGGGGATGTTTGAGAAAATACTGCATTTGCTGTGGAATCAATAAAATGTTAACATCTCATGAGTAATAAAGGTTTACAATTACAAAACTAAATTATATTACACAAATATATTATTTCATTATTTACTCAACACAATTTAAACAAATATGTTCACAGAATTAACAAATAACCATCCACTATCTACTTCTTAGTGAACCAGTGTACAAAAAAATGTTTCTTAAAATGTTGCACTTTTAGATTATAACTTAAAGTCCTGAGAAATCAATTATCCTTATCATCATCATTATGTAAGTACGCTTTAAAATAGGAGAGGCTTTGCATGTCCACAAACTCCTCTCTGCTGGAAACATCAGTCAGCATGTTAGTTGGGATTTTCTAAAACTTCAACATAGCATAAAAGCATTTCAACAGCTCTCAACAGCCAATCGTTTCACTACTTGATAAAATGCGAATACAAGATGCCTTGTATGTCTAATAATTGTTTTACTGACATTCTGGATTCTTATGGCCAGTTAAGCGGTGGACTCCACATAGTTGCCAGGAAAATAACCCTTTACTCCATTCAGAACCCCCTCACACCAGCCATCCTCGGTCCTGCTGGTGAGGTAGATGATGTCCCCCTCCTGAAAGAGCAGGTCACCTGGCTTGTCTGTGTCGTAGGTATATAGTGCCACCACTTGAAAAAGAGTTACAATGGAAAATCAGTCCCTGTAGATATCTTACATTCTGAATGACCAGTGGTGGACGAAATACTCAAATCAGGTGCTTGAGTAAAACTAATAAAATAATACTCCAGTAAAATTATTGATTGTACAAAGTACTGATTAATGATTTTTATATACTCAAAATACGTGTGTGTGTGTGTGGGTCGGGGGTATAATGTACAAGACACACAAACAGCTTAAATAGTTAACAGCTCAGTTTGACATCATTATGATTTATTGTGAGTTGTCAAGTGGCCAACACTAGTCAGTAAGAAAGGTTATGCAGACACTTAATATGTATTGATCTGCACATCAGAAAACAGGCGTCACATAGGGCAAAATATGTTAACATTTTAGGAAAAAAGCTAAGCAAACATGCCAGTTTTCTATCATTTGAAACTGCTATGGCAGCGGGGAGATGCATGGGCTTTCATTTGTGTTATTTTAACGTTCTGTTTAGTTTTCACCTAAAACCTTCCCTGTTCAGACAAAGTGATACACAAATGTGGACATGTGCACATTCAAGCATTTCATACAATGTGCTTAAACAGCTCGCCCTTTTACAGCAGATTTAGTTCACAAACAACTGACAGCTGTGATCTAAATCTAATTTTCATTTACAATAATAAATCCTAAAATTTTGAATTTTTAAACGTACTTTTCGAGCCATCAGTCGCATGCGCACTCACGTCCAGAGGATCTCCCGTTCTCGGCTCATTTTGAGTCTGATTTGTGAATTCATCCAATTGTTGACTCGAGAACAACTGATGCAATTGGATCAATCCGATTTATTGTACAGTATGATTTGCGAACCGATTTTACAGGCTAATTGAAAAGAATTAGTTCACGAATCGGACACCGGGGTGGGTGATGATTTCTTCAGTTCAAAATAACGAGGAACGTTTATCAAAACATAGTGGAGTAAAAAGTATGATATTATGCCTTGGAATGTACAATGCAGTAAAGTAAAAGTAAATGTTTCTTAAAGTCCCTGTAATCAATAATTGTATCCCTTAAAACTCTTCTTTGATCACCAAAATGACACATAAAATTCCTCATGCCTTAAAACAGCTGGAATGTAACTCTACACCCTTGCCTCATTTAGTCTATGCGGTTCTATAAATATGCTAATTAGCCCCGCCCCCAGTCACTCCCACCAGCTTAGAGATCCACTCGTTGACGATCACACAAATTGACGTGATTGCTTACAAGGTAGTCTGTGACGTCAGAAACACCAGCAGTTTCAAACCGCGTTTTTGAGACTGTCTTTGGTTCACTGCAGTTTTAAAGAAAAAATACTCGGCAATGGTGTTGACTTGAATTTGCACATGGTTTGTCTTAAAGCATATTAAAAACACCACATAGACATATAAACAACGTTAAATAGTGGATTTTCACCACAGGGGGACTTTAAAATAAAAATACTCAGATAAAGCACAGATTCTTGAACATTTTAATTAAGTTACTGTCCACCACTGGTCAGTACAAAATTATCTCAGAAACCTAAAATGTCAATTTTAGTCACCTAATTACGAAATATCAAAGTCTTGCTATTATGATACTGATTAACAATGCAAATTCTTTAGCGCTCTAAAAAAAATTAGTTTGACTAAAATTAGTCAACATTAAGCTTACCTTTCTCCAAATAGTCGGCTGGTGCAGATATGTCGTAATCAATAGGGGGTGGTAAAGGGGGCATATCCTCATAGTTGTCAAAACCATCTACTGGTGGAGATGGGGGCGGTGCTGGAATCTCAAGGTCTGAATGTGCATCGACACACAATGTTAACACATATAGAAAACACAAGTGTGTGAGTTCTGCGCTACAAGCCACATCAGACAAAATTGTGAAAACAATTATTTTTTTCCGCTTCAAACACATGGAAGACCACACAGGCAATCAATCATAATAAAAATGCATTATCCCTGCGGGGTCCATATGTTTGAAAAGAACAATTATGTTTGCAATTCCATTTGTTTACAGTACAAATTACACACTTCACATATAAAGGAATAGTTCACCAAAGATAAAAACAAAAATCCATCATATGGCTTCAGATAACTTGGAATAGTGCACCAGTGTTATTAATAGTTATTCATTATTATTAATACTTTGAATTATCTTTTATTTTCACATTTCAGTTTTCATTTTATTTTAAGTTTTAGTAACTTTGTGATTTCGTAATTTTTTTAAAAAGTATTTATATTTGAATTTTTTTATTTCAGTTTTAGTGTTTTTATTACTTAAAATAAATGGAAGTTATTCATGTAATATTTATATTTTATTTTAACAACACTATAGTGCATATATTGCATGGATTACTTCTATCATGCCTTTTTGTCCTTTTTGGAGCTAAAAATCATACAGGCTTGGATTAACATAGTGAGCAAATGATGACAGAATGTTCATTTTTTTGGCTGAACTATCCCTTTAAAATCACCAGACTCATTTGAGTTTTCAAAAGAGAGATCTAACTTCATTGAGGATGTAGATCGAGTGTAGATCCTGTTGCATGCCAGAATGGCGTGATACGAAGTCAAATTATATGCTGGCTTGGCTCGCTGAAGAGCAGACAGAGGGAAGTTGCAAATATTAAGGAAGAGAAGAGCATCAGACAGCAATGCGCCACACTTACCCAGGTGCTCTAGGCGAGCAGGGATCCTGCACAATGGGCTGAACGAAGCAGGCGGAGCCAGAGGAGGCGGGTATGGAGGGGGTGGGGGTATCATGACTGACAGGTGTTCATAAAGAGAAGTGTAATGAAATATTTAACTAATATGAACAGATTAGAGATGTTTTCAAGGGCCAGATAATAAGAGTGATTCGATTTTAACTAAAAGATTATTTGAAATGTCGCATGTTTTTGGTATATCGTATCAACAGTTTTGGCATCAAAAGGAGGAACTACCAAAGAACTGTAATGACTCAGGTCTTAGGAATGAGCGGGGCCTTACGTGATTGAGCAGAGGGCAGAAAAAGCGAGCGTGTGTACAGCGAGCGAGCGCTGGGGCCCATGCGGACCCTCAGAGAGAGAGAGCGAGAGCTAGGAGGATGGCGTCGCACTCGTGACCGGCGAGAACGCGGAGCTGAGTGAGAAGAGAGAGACAAGTGTGAAAATAAGAGCATCGAGTGTAAAAGCTCACAGAAACAAATAACAGCAACACCAAGATTAAGAGCAAAGGCTGGCTGTAACTGAAAGCAAACATGTAATCATTCAAAGCATTTTGAAGCGAGACACAAAGCATCACACAAAACAAAATACCACGTTTGAACAAACATATGCTTTGATTTGGACATTTTTGTACCTTCAAAGTTCTCATCATCAGGCAGAGGCGGTGGGGTTGGAAGATCAAGGGCATCAGGGGCTGGTGGAGGAGGCATGTCACTGGGAGCTTCTGGTAGAGGAAATCCATTCTCCTCGGCCACTAGACAAAACATTTCTTTATTCAATTCTATTATACTATAGAACTTTCTATTTTTAAACTTTTGTCATTGGATTATTTTCCTCTGGCTCCACTGCAGCAGCATCCATATATGCTTCCTGACCGGAGTGTATTTTTACTACACACATGCATACTTATAGATGTTTTTAGATGTTTTATTTAAGAATATGTAGGTTAGTCTAGTAAATCACAGGTTTTTAAGTGTAAGTTCTTCCACTCGCAGCTCAAGTCCTAACCAGTCTGTCTACACTGAACATGAAACAGCTGAGGAACGTGACACAAACACAAACATCAGATCATATTTAATGTTTAATGCACAGTTACACTACCCTTCTAAAGTTTGGGGTCAGTAAGATTTTTTGAAAGAAACTAATCATTTTTTTCAGCAAGGACACATTAAATTGAGTTATTAATGTTACAAAATATTTATATTTCAAATAAATGCTGTTCTTTTGAACTTTCTATTCATCAAAGTATCCTGAAAAATTACAAATCCTTTTGTTTCCACAAAAATATCAAGCAGCACAACTGTTTTCAACATTGATTTGAATAATAAACGTATCTTGAGCATCAAATCATCATATTAGAATGATTTCTGAAGGATCATGTGACACTGAAGACTGGAGTAATGATGCTGAAAATTCAGCTTTGCATCACAGGAATAAATTACATTTTAAAAAATATATTCAAATAGAAAACAGTTATTTGAAATTGTAATAATATTTCACAATATTACTGTTTGTACTGAATTTTGTTCAAATAAATGGAGCCTTGGTGAGAATAAGAATCTTCCCATTAGTTTCCACTAGCATTAACTGACATTGACTAACAATGAGTAACTTATTACAGTATAATAACGGTTCGTTGTTAGTTCATGTTAACTCATGTCTGTTAACAGATACAACTTTTGATTTTAATAATGTATCAGTAAATGTTGAAATTAACATTACCTAAGATTAATAAATGCTTTAGAAGTATTTTTCATTGATAGTACATTTTAACTAATGTAGTTAACTACCGGTAGTACCGTTAACAAATGGAACCTTATTGTAAACCAAAAAGATCCTACCGACCTGAAACTTTTGACTGGTATTGTATGTGAGGCGTCTGGTTAGGACAACAAATGTATTGCTCCTTGCTTTATCATGTCACATCTAGATGGCATATGGCGTAACCTCCTGAAAACTTTGAATGTCCTGCAATGTTGATTGATCTGTCAATCAGCACAAACTAACCTGTTTCAAGAGGTGGAGCTGGTGGAGGAGGTGGTGGTGTGGTTATCAGGGTGCTGGGATCAGATGTATTGACTGAAGCAGGCATGGGTGGAGGTGGGGGGATGTCGGTACAGTCAAGGGGAGGAGGTGGAGGTGGAGGTTGATCAGTCTTCTGCCCGTGATCCTTTTCACCCTCTGCCTCCATCAGTGGGGGTGGTCCTTCATCCAGCAGCGTGCTGATGATGTCACCATCAGGGCTGGTGGGCCAGCTGGGCACTACAGGGGGCGGCACGGCTTTACCAAAGCTCGACCTGCGGTGACCGGAGAAATCCAGGTATGAAAACTGATACAGATGTGACGTTAGGATTATAACCAGGAATGATAAAACACTCTATGTGCTCTTACGCGATAGACTTGTCATTAAGTGAGGTGAGGGACGCTCCATGAGACAGAGTGGGCGCCACAGGACACTGGACAGGCTCTGGAGGACGGCTGCCTCGACTTGATGAACACACACACAGAAACACATACTGAGCTGTCAAATAGTTAATATTAGACACGTACTTCTGTATTTTATGCAGAAAGCCACTAAAAAGACACGTGCATGTCTCATGAGCTCGTGCTGAGAAACTAATGCTACCACAATGCAAGCCTTGTTGCTTTCAGGCAGTGCAAAGAGGGGAAGTGGGTAGAACAAAACTAAAATCACTTCCTGGAGAAAGGCCCTCTAACTGAGAAAGAAGAGGAACAGAGGCCTGAGAATGAGGGGTTCGTATGAGTATATATGATTTCATCAGAATTTAATTTTTTATGAACAACAGAGACATTTTCGTGGAGAATCTAAACCAGAATAAAAGGAGATGTGATGACTAGCATGATAGTTTGTATTAGGGTGGCTGCGGTCATGTGGGCATGTCAGGAGATCAAGCAGAGAATGAATAAATGTAAATGGCATTCTCACACAGGATGCATACTGGTGATCAAAAAACTGGTAGATACTGCATAACAGAATGAAAATTCCTCGAGAAATGTTTTTAAAATTAAACAGCATCACAGCACTCATGGCACAAGATGCTAAAAAAAATAGCCTGACACTTTGTAATGGTCACAGAATCCCTTAAAGGAACATTCCAACTTTTTGGGACTTTAGCCTATTCACCTTATCCCCCAGAGTTAGATAAGTCCATACATACCTTTTTCATCTCCGTGCGTGCTATAAGTCTGTTTGACACACCCACCGCTAGCCTAGCTTAGCACAAAGACTGGATGTAAATGGTTGCAGCTAGCATACTAATCCAAATAAGTGACAAAATAACGCAAACATTTTCCTATTTACATGTTGTGATTTGTATAGTCACAGAGTGTACAAAAAACGAAGTCACATGAGACACAGACATATTTTAACCGTATAAATACTGGGAACTACTTGGGCGGAGTGATAACCGTTATCACTCCGCCCAAGTAGCAGTGCTTCGCCTTCAGAGAATATAGTTCCCAGTATTTATACGGTTAAAATATGTCTGTGTCTCATGTGACTTTGTTTTTTGTACACTCTGTGACTGTACAAATCACAACATGTAAATAGGAAAATGTTTGCATTATTTTGTCACTTATTTGGATTAGTATGCTAGCTGCAACCATTTACATCCAGTCTTTGTGCTAAGCTAGGCTAGCGGCGGGTGTGTCAAACAGACTTAGCACGCACGGAGATGAAAAAGGTATGTATGGACTTATCTAACTCTGGGGGATAAGGTGAATAAGCTAAAGTCCCAAAAAGTCGGAGTGTTCCTTTAAAGCACATGCTGTAATTCTTGTTATTAAGAATTGTTTTCATTAAAGCTGCAGTCCGCAGTTTTTTCTCTTTGTCGCCATCTCTGTTCGAAATCTGCAATTGCAGTTATTCGCGGAATTATCAACTTTATGTGAGTTGTGTCTTGACATGGCACAGCGCGGATGAATCCAATGTTTGAGGAGAATGTGTGGCTGTCAGTGTGGATACTGGCATTCAGAATCACAGATTATTATTTTTTAAAGTATGACCAACTTAAGAATTTTCACCGGAAAATGGCATCTGAACAAGTAAGAAACATCCACTTTTGTTCTGGTTCTGACCAACTAAGAAAAAAAAATCATTGCAGTAAATCGTGCTGATTAAATCTAACAATCGCTTATCATATCACGTAAAACAGTGCAAATTATACTTTGTTCTCAAATAGTTAATGTTCAACATCAGCAATGCATGACTACATTTACTGCCCTTCCGATATTTATCCTTGTTTTCACATGGGCCGGTTGCTGGTCTCTTTTTTTCAGTAGCCACTCCGAAGTCCGAAAGAAGTCTTTTGCATTTTACAACGTGTGAATCTGTTGTCACTGGTGATTGTCGTTTGAACCTTTCTGGATCCGCCATCAAATTAATAAGTTTAATTATATCAAGTGCTGTGAGAAAAGGCTATAAATCTCCACCTCCAGCATCCTCACACGCAATATAGCCTACTAGCCGAGACTCCTTCTTTATGTGTACAGATGTGACGTAACGACGCAAAGACATGCTCGAATCTCCCGCGGAAATCCACCAGTACCACTGGAATTAAAAACATTATTACAAGCTTACCGTTTTGAATCGAGCTACGGCAAGCAGATAGTTTTGACCACTGGCTGGTTATGTATTTGCTCAAAAATTTATATGGGATAATTTTTAACCCAAAAAAGCTACGAACTGCAGCTTTAATTGAAATAAAGCTTAAATAAAATACAAATCTTGGATGAAAAACTTAAAAAATGAAAATGAGAAATGTTTTACCTGGCAACTAACTGAATTAAAATAAGCTGAAGTACTAAAATTACTAAAACTGAAATAAAAATAAATTAAAGCTAAATAGAAATATATATATATATATATATATATATTTTAAATCCTAAAAATTACAAATCCACATTACACACTTGATAAAACTTAAACTAAAATTAAAATGAAAACTGAAAATATTTAAATAAAAGCAAATTCAAATTATAAATAAATTCTATAATAGTATTTAAATAATACTAAAATCACAGGAACAGGGCAGGCCCTAACATGTCAAACAGATGTACCTCAGCGTGCTGCCGCTCCGTGTCATGGTAGCTGTTTTTAACTGTGGTTGGCCAGAATCCTGAAAACAACAAATCTGATGATTAGCAGTTTGTAGATTGAACTTAATTATAATATCAAAACAAAAACAATCTACCTGACCACCCTGACTCCTTTTCTATTAGCATTATCTATCTGGTTCTCTTAATATTCCAATAGGGGACTTTAGTCTCTGCTTTAGGGAAACCAGTTTGAAAACATATCATATTTCTGTAATTCTTTTCGATGATGCTAGTAGCACAGAACTCACTTTAGCTTTACAGGTGAAATATGAGGTACATAAATATAATTATATTTATTTATACTACTGTCCAAAAATTTGGGTCAGCAAGATTTTTTTTCTTTTTTTTTTAATAAGTCTCTTCTGGTCACCAAGGCTTAATTTATATGATAAACCCCCCAGTAACCCTAATATGTAATAATGCTGATTTTTTAATATCAATGTTGAAAACTAATATTTTTGTGGAAACCATGATACACCATAATTTAATGCACCCTTGCTGAAAACAACAACAACAACAACGTACTGATCCCAAGCTTAGTGCTTATAATAAATGTATGATTAAAACAATAACATCTCAAATGAAAAACTACCTTCTGCAAGTATAAAAATGTGTGTTTGTGCTTATGAGTATATGCCCAGTGTAAGACTTGGTGTGTGTGCTAACGTGCTAGACTTTCTAAATATGGATGTGCTTCACCAGTCTTCTGTGGCAAGTGCATTCCTGTGAAAGTCTGCTAAATGCTATACAGACCTAGCAGGGTATCAATGAGCTAGCTTAGCATGAGTAGCACCAATTAAAGACTCTAGCTGCTTTTCCCACGCTGCTTAGTGGCTGGTAGCCAAATGTGTGTTTGTGTTTGAGGGAAAGAGGAGTGTAAAGGAGGTAGGAAAAGAGAGTAATCTGAATGTGCCTTTGCTCTGAGTTGGTGTGCACTGTTAATTTGTCAGACAAACTGCTTTATAACAGGATGTGGTCAAGTGTGTGACACGAAGAGATACTCTATTTTTTTACCATTTTGATTTTTATTTCGAACTGTTATGAAGGGAAGAAATGAAAAGTTACATGCTGAAACAGCTAAATGTTATATCTTAAAGATTCTTGACACCATTTATCATTGTAACACTTGTAATCCTGGCTTATGTTGTTCCATGTGTCACACTATTTATACTTTACCATAGGTTAGAAAATAATACTGAATAGACAAGTGTTCCACACTGTACAATTGTACACCCTGGGTTAACATTGTTATTTACACAGCACGCAACATTTTACTTAATATATTTCCTTTTACATTACACAATTGTTTCCCCCCAAACACTGAAACTATTCAAGGCAAATGCATATTTAAGCACTAAGGCAGATTCTGGTTGGTTGTCTTGATAATTAACTTTCTGTAACACACTGTATACCTCTGTACCCACTTCATGAGATTGTGTGTGCTCACCTTCACGCCATGGCCAACAGAGTCCAGGCTGGAGAAAGAGATGGGAGTGCGGGAGTACTTGAGCGTGGCTTCTTTATTTTTTGCAGGGGGGACAATCTTATGACTGCGTGAAACCCTCTTGGCAACTGTGAAAGCGCCAATCTCTCTGCGGGCCACCTTCTCCCTGTGCATGTCCACTGTCTGTGTACAAGCAGAGAGATTGGGAAAAGTGACACCTGGAATTCTCCTCCAAGACAACGTTTTGGTATTAAAATGTAGAAATCTTCACAATCGACATGCTACAATATCACTCATTAAACCGCACCCTGGGAAATCTTGATTCTGATTGGTTATTGCTGCATTATGCAGTCAGATTTTGTTGTTGCTGTTGCTGATACACTCCTATCGACATGTTTAATATGATTAATATTAAACATGAAAAACATTTTTTAAAACACTGTGTAACCCATTTATTTTTTATTAATTTATTAACTAATATTAAATGTAATATTTTGGTAACACTTTATTTTACAGTGTCCTTTTTACATATGTTACATGTAGTTACTATAGTAATACCAGTAATTATTACAAACCCTAATCCTATCCTAACCCTTTGGTAAGCAGCCTACATGTTGTTAAATAATATTACTCAGTACTTAAATATGTAATTACACTATAACAATGACACCTTAAAATAAAGTGTAACCAATTTTCTTCACTCATTTTATTAATCATGTATTAGTTCACAAAGCAATTAGCTATTGAAGGACAATTCCGGCGCAAAATGAACCTAGGGGTTAATAACACATGGGTACCGAGTCGATCGTTCTCTGGGATATGTTTTCATGGATATCGAATGTACCCAGTTTTAGCTCGAACCACAGATTAGCTTATAAAAAATAAATCGCTAGTTAATACCACTAACAAGGCTCAAAATAGCCCCACACTAACACGGTAGCATAATGAGGGTCCCTACATGCAAACCGAAGCATTAAGAACTTTGTATGTGTACGTTTAATAAGAAGATACTTTATAATGACAGTAAACTTTGCGTATACAGGCAGGAGCCATCTTTGGAAAACAGTCTCGACCAGCTGAACCACGAACGTTGTGCTAAGTGAGCTGGTCGATAGGAATTACGTTTGTGAAACGTAAAACCTATATACTAGCGTTATAAGCTTATCAGTGGTTCAAGCTAAAACTGGGTACACCATGAAAACACATCCCAGAGAACAGTCGACACGGTACCTATGTGTTATTAACCCCTAAGTTCATTTTGCGCCGGAATTGTCCTTTAATGTTACATCTGCCCATTCTACGGGCATTGTTATCTAAACCTAAAACCCTTCAAAAAAAAATTGTTGTTTGAAATAAAGCTGAAAAACCTAAAGAAAAATGAGTGATGTTACCTTGGTAGCTAACTGAAATAAAATAAGTTGAAGTGCTAAAATTACTAAAACTGAAATAAAATAAAAATTACAAAAGATCATAACAAAATTACTAAAATTACTGGAAAATATAAAAGCTTATTCAAAATAGTAATAAATATTATAATAGTACACAATACTAAAATAACACTGTCAACAGGACTATATAAAGAATATAACCGTGAGCATAATCTAATTACATCCACCACAGCCTAAATCTTATTGCTGTTTAGGCTGTTCCAACCCACTCAATCCCCACAGTAAAGGTTTAGTCTGTGATGTAGGAGGAACTGGAAGCCTCGCTAAGACATTAGATTCTTCCTGAAATACGCCAATCTGGCTTTCCTCTGTCTGTGGGCACTCATATAGGGTGAAGGATCAGTATTGGTACTCCAGGCCTGCTTGTTACAGCTCTTCTTGGGCACAGGGCAGACAATAGAGAACATCAATCAGCGTTCAAACTTTGCTTCTGAGCGAGAGAACAGTGGCCCTTTCATTCCAAGTCTGGGATCTGGCTCACCCCCTCTCAGCCCTGCCTCAGGTGACCTGGTTAGGCAGGCTGGGCACGGAGCGCACTGGAATGCTGCCGTGCCGCAGTGAGAGGAGCCAAGGGAATCGAGGGGCAAGGGGGGCCCTGGTGGCATGGAGTATTATCACCCGGGAGACAGGGGGCCCCAAAAAGTGACTACCTACACTGAGCTTTGGGACATTTCTACAACAGCCCTCGCCACTTTACAGTAGGAAATCCTCCTTCACCAAGAGACCAAGAGGGGTTTTGCAATCAAGCATGTTATTACCATTTTTGCCAAGCAATAATAACAGAGAAACCCTTTTTGAAACCATTCACAGATTCATGTTCAGTTCAGGACACGGCAGTCAAGCTCGCATTAACTCTCAGCTGATCCACTTCTACCTATAGGAATACAACGCCTATCACTGTATACATATATAAGCTCCTTCAGTATTATCAGCAGCTATCGCTTTTCTCAGGAGCGAATTACGCTCCTCCATCCCCAGCTCCTCCTCTCGCCCAGTCAGCATTTGGCATTCCGATTCCCCTTGAATCAGAATAAATTCTCGAATTATGTTGTACTTTAAAATCTTGAATTAATGATATCTGCAATACATTCATGTTGGTTCTGTTCTGTTTACCCGAAGGGGGGTTATTGCTGCTCTCCCTGCTCTTATCCATGCTAGGATGCATGGATGCGCAGGGAGTTCTCGCCCAGAACGGAACCACACCACCAATCCAAACTGTATGCTAATTGTCAATTGTATTTGACGATAGTGGTCCTGACAGATCTCAGGGCTATAACAATCATAATCATTTAAAAGTCTTATCAGCAGGATTGTGTATAACTGAATTTTATTGAGAGTACTTTTTGAATTCAATTCAATTACTGAATTTAAATTGAGAATCAAAACATGATGAAAAATTGCAATTTTAAACTGAATATAAGTCATGTAAATGTAAAGAAATTAATATAAATGCTGTAAATATAGTTTTTTAATAAAACATAATAATTTTCTATATAAATGACCCATAAACGTTATCATAACTACGTCTACAACATATAGGGTTTTTCCAGGAACAAACAAAAACATTCATTTAATTTTTATTTTTCATTTTATGGACTATGATGGAATAGATTTAAATTACAATATTTATGAATGACAATAAGTATTCTGTGGATGTGATAAACATTTTGTGGTGATATATGAGTTGATGTACAGAGGTAATTGTTTTGACATATTGATGTTTAGAGAAATATTGGGAAACAAATATGTATCAGAATTGATGTTTTGCAAAAACTTGTATTGAACTGATGAAATTCAACTGCATTTCTTTACATTTCAATAAGATAATATACATTTCTGAATTGAAAGTGAGCAGCTGAGTAGGTAAAGTTATCACAGTTTAGAGACCAAACCTTGTACCCATATATAATTACTAAGAGAAGTAAGGAACCAGCACATGCGCAACTTCCATTTTTTTAGGAAATGAAAATCGACATTGTGGAGCCGACAAAGTTCATAGAGTCAGCATGATAGGACTTAACTGCTTTACACTGATTATAATGACTGTATCGTGATCATATGATCAAAATAACAAACATGTTCTGAAGTATCTCAAAATATTCGACTGTATATTCCAGTCTCCCTAAAAGAAAGAGAGGCCGATACCTGTCCGATCTGGTTGACGGAGGACTCTATCTTGCGGAGCTGCAGGGTCTGTGCATCCAGAAGCTTGAGCACATTGGTGGCCAGAGAGCTGATCTGATAAGCCACACTAGCCAAAGACTGAGCAGTGAAGGCCTTGGTTTCCTCCAGAGCTTTGCTGGTGTCATTTCCAGACTGCATGCAGAGGTAGAAACATGCGTTAAACAGACATGACATGCTTCAAACAGGTTCATTTTACTTTGTCTTAATGTACTTTATAACTAGCCGTCATTGTGTTGCATGCAATACATGATCTCATTTTACATACTGTCACAAAAAAAAAAAAGGGAACACATTTTTTGTATACAAGTGCGTTTGTAGCTAAATTCAGTTAGGCTACTTTCATTTTCTGTTCTTTTGTCATTGACTTCTATTGATTTTATACTGTGCCAATTATATTATTTATACTTTAAGGCTTAATCCTACAACTCACACAAACCTTTTTGCATTTTTAGATTTTTAGACATTATTAGTTTATTAAGCAATTTCCGTCTCTGAGTGAGACCGCTGACAGGTGATTACAAGTTGTATACTCTTTGTGGGGAGTCAGATTTGGTCTACTGTAAGGAAGACGACAGATTGCTTCATCTTCTCACTCGTATGTGTTCCTTCCTGCCTGAATTACAAGAACATGCACATTTATATTGAGCAACCTTTTAAATAAATAGTATAAGCATGTAAAAGTAAAAGTTCCACCGTTTTAATCTGCTTCAATCTGTTACCAGTTGTACAAAGTGGGAAAGTCAGTATGAGTAGCCTAGATACTGAGGGACTCCAAACACTCCTCAGGAAAATAAATACTATACAATTTTATCATGCAGAGGAATTGTGAAAAAGCGCAAGATATTGTAACGCCTTTTTAAAGTTGAATTTCTATTTACTTCAGCGCCACGTTTTAAGAACACATTGTCATGCGCGAGACGCTGCAAAAGACGCGAGCGCAACGCTCTCTGTAAGCGCGTTTTAAACAGAAAAACTGTGGAAAACCAGCGCATTATATGTCCCTTACACTTATAATAATTGTCACTTAAGTATGCTATTAAAACGTTAAATTGCATTCATTAAATTAAGTTAAATTGTTGTTTTTGTAAATGACACGTCTCGTCATTTTTAACAGTCTCAAATTGAATCTTGTGTCAGCATCTTACCTGCAGGTAGTTGCTCTCGCAATACTTCGCTACTTCGTGTAAATTGTTGTAGTTGTCTAAAAGTGCTTTGCGAGCAGAGGGGGCATCCTCAAGTATTTTAGCAACTTCTTCGCCGTAGTTTTGATCCTTCATTGCGCGGTGGAATGATAGACCGTTGAAGAACAACTCCGGAAACCTCCGTGCGACAGCAGCTTACTGATATCTGTCAGTCAGACCCCATCCGCCACTGCCTTCCTCTGTCATCAGAAGTTCTCCTTTGATGCTGCAAGCACATATCTGCTGCTCATGGGGTGTGCAAGCATGTGGAAACGAGGAGCTTTGAATGCCATTTTATATTTAAACCCCATTTATACATTTAAAACAGCAAGCAATACTTTAGCAGCTAAAGTGACTAGTTCAAGAAACATACTAGCATACTACAGTACACATAATTCTGCGGTTTCATTCCTGCTTTACTGTCTATGCTACTGTCATGGTGAAAACACGCCCTCTAGCGATTGTATCGATTGTTACCATGTGTCTATAAAAGTGAACTATGAGAAGAATAGACACAGCATTGAAAACTCCAGTTTCACAGACAAGGCTTAAGAGTCATGAAACCCAAAATCAGTTTGGGCAAATTTGGTCATAGCCCCACGGTTTATTTAAACCAGAAAATAAAAGAAACCTTTACATGGGCTAATAATAATAATAAAAAACTTATATTGTAAAATGAATTACTTGCATTTCTAGGTTACAAATCATTAGAAAATTTGTGACAGTGACATTAACCATGTATAGCACTTTTTAACCATGTAAAACAGTAGATTTTTAGACATTGAAAAGTAATGTGAATTAATAATAATAAATATTATTTTTCCTAGGTATGCAGATCTTTAAAATCTTTATTGTGTAGAAATTGTGAGCAAATATATATATATTATATATATATACTTTAAAACTTCTGGAATTCTAAAATAATATATATGTATGTGTGTGTAATACAAAAAAACATTATATATAACTTTAGGACCCTCATTGTTCAGTATGTAATGTTTCTGTATCATGTCTGAGAATAAAATAATAGGTAATTTAAACATTTACACAAAAGTACATATTGATTTAGTTATCCTCCATCTCAGTATGTTAAAGAACAAACACATTTTAAAAAATCATATTCAGAAAGATCATTAAGCAGCATATTTATTAAATTTCACATTGCACTTCACAGTAAACATACATCAGTATAATTGCTGCAAATTCAAGTTCTGTTAATATCTGCAAATATATCTTCCTTGCTTATCTGCCAAATAAATCTGACTAAGATAGTGAAGAGAAACATAGCTGTAATGCCAGTGTAGCAAGCAAGTATAAGCTGTAGTGCATAGACAGACTCCGGATCAGAGATTTGACGCAAACGTCCCAAGCGGAGATACACCCCCAGTCTGATCTCTGCAGCCAGCTCTCCTTGGAGCCAGCAGAAATAGAAGCCTTTATCTTTCAACCGCAAAGGCCTGAAGTGTAGGTGGTGACCGGTGTCAATGAAGATGCGAGAAGTCTTATTCAAACCCTCCATATACTGAGAGCGGTAAAGAGGTGCTGAGCCTTTATCCCAGGCCACAGCGTACTGGGGTTTGGCGCCAGGACAGGTCAAGACCAGATCAGAGCCTGTGGGGTGGTTGTGGTAGTGGATGGTGACACCCGAAGAAGCTTGATCATCATCCTGGAGGAACTTCAGCAGAGCTCGTCTCTCTGGAGATGTTGTAGGTTTCGGAGGGCAGATGGTGTGACAGTTCCTCACCTCAAGCTCGGCTCCGTAGCTACTGCCTGAAAGTCCAAACTGTTTGGGAACGGCTGAGGAACCACAGGAAGCCGCTGCGTCCGATTCATGCTGATAACGTACATGGAGGTAAATGCTTTTGACATAACAAAATCCCACACGCGTCTGCTCCCCCAGGATGTCACAGCGGTCACATTTAGACCATGACCAGTAGCTGGTGAACACTTGAAACATTTCCGTTTTCATTCTGACAGGCTTTGCTTCTTGTACTTGAGTTCTCTGTTTGACATTCAAGGGAAATAAAACTTGATGGACCTCCTGGACATCAACATCGTAGCCGTAGAAGAATTCACCAGAGGCCGTGCCACAGATATAGTGCCCTGAGTCAGCTTTCTGGACCCTGAAGATCAGAAGGCTAAACAAACGGATGGAAAAGCGACTGTGGAGATCTGACCCTCTGCCAACTTTGGATGATTCCACCACCATAGTGCCTTCAAAGTCTGTGAGGACCTTAGTGTTCATGGAGCCTATTTGTTTTTGATAGTACCATACCACTGAATGAGTCTCCTCTGGTTTGCAGTGACAAGGAAGTTCAATGGTCATATCGGCTATGAAGGCCGCAGTGTCAAAGACAAGAAATGCAGGACAGGCCCTGCTGGCAAAAATGTCCTTCTTATCCTCAGGAGCCTCATAGGCTGAAAGTAATAATGGGCAGATGGCCCAAAAACAAATGGCCAACACTTCTTTTAACATATTTCCGCTGGTGTAAAGTACCAATAAACAAAAACAAACAACAATGGAGTTTTCAATATAAACTAGTTTTGGATACCATATTTCCCCATTAACCCTTTAAGTTTTATTGTAATGTCAGTCTCATCGTCCTCCACATGTGTCAGACTGGCCTCACAAACCATTGAAGTGTCAGAAGAATCATCTTTAGAAGTATGATATTCTCCTCCTGCAACTTGTAGCTTGTGGAAAAGTTCCTCACAGGCGTTTTGTTCTGCCTTACTAAGAAGAGTCTGGTTCAGGCCAAAACGACCAGTTCTGGAAAGGCCGTCCAGCACTCCAATCACTTTTTCCTCATCTCCTGACTTAAGACACTGTGACAGAATCAGAAAGAACTCGCCTAGAAGACCAAAGCCAACCTCAGTGCTGAAGATTTCCCGCAGAGCCTTGCCTCCCAGACTCACAAGCAGACTGTACTTTTCAAATGAGCTCCCTGCAAACTTGCGCCAGCCACGGATGAATTCTGATGCATTTCTTGGCAGTATCTCAGATAACAGCGGCTAAAGACAGAATAAAGTTAGCACTAGTCATAGTCAGTCAAGAGGAATGATCTTTGGTGAGATCTAGCATCTAGATGATCAATTTATTCATATGCAAGAAAACATATACTAGATCATAGGCTCACCTGGAACTCTTCAGTTGAAGCACTTTCATGCTTTGTCTCAAAAGCAATTGGATTCCACGGCTGTTTTCGGGGTGCACCAGAGATGTCCTTTCTATCAAGAGGCTTTAAGTGAGATGCGAGTACTATGTCCCTGAAATCAAAGCATAAAATCTTCCAATTAAAATATAAAAACTGTTAACGTTACAAGAGAGACCGTCAGTAGCTACCCGGTAAAGATCATTAAGAATTATTAGTAATCGTTTTTGGGAGCAAATGTGAATTACACAGTACAAGTCAGCAACGCACCTGAATTCTTCATAGCTGGCGACATTTTGGTTCAAAGCACGAAATTTGGCATCATTTTCCCTCTGATATTTCCTGTCCGCTTCCAGCGCCGTTTGTAGCTCTTTTTCAAGAGAGCTGAAATTTATCACATCAGATTTCTCCATACCTGCTCTTACTGCTCACCGAAAAATATGTCCGTAAGAAGTCACTCAATTTACTTTTAGAAGGAACTGATCATTTTTATTTACCTCTAAAGTCAGAAATCCAGAAACTTCGTTTAGCCGAAAATGAGTACAGCTAACTTGCTAGCTCACGCCTACACAACAAACCGGTCTCCATGACAACCATGCAACGCACTCACACTCACGCTGGAACTTCGGAACTGGGAGGAAAGTTTGATCTCGGATTAGCGAGTTTTATTGAAAACAAATTGGCTATATTGACAAAATGAGTAATTTTATTACCACAACATATACATTTACAACTTAACAGCTACTTTGAGGATTATTAGTGTTTTCAAAGTGCGGCTCTTTGAGTTCAGTAAACAATCAATATTTACATATTCCATCATTCTGTTGAAAAACGTTTGTAATAAATGTATTCCTAATGTTTTCTAAACTAACTAAAAACTAAACTGTTTTCAACCAGCGAGTCTGTTGAGAATACATTCTCACAAAAGTGACAACACACATTTCAGCAAACATTTTAGTATATCTTCTCAAGGAACAATACTATAGAAATTAAACTTGGATATATTTTAGAGTAGTCATTGTGCTGCTTGAATAGCATGGCAGTATATATTTAGTGTCCTCTCAAAAAAACTCAACATACAGCCATTATCAAAATAGCTGGCAACAAAAGTGAGTACACCCTAACTGAACATGTCAAAACGATGTCCAAACTAAAGTGTCGATATTTTGTGTGAGCACCATTGTTATCTATCACTGCCTTAATCCTCCTAGGCATGGACTTCACCAGAGCTGCACAGGTTGTTGCTGGGATCCTCTTCCACTCCTCCATAATGACATCATGGAGCTGCTGGCTGTTAGACGCATGATGCTTCTCCACCTTCCGCTTGAGGATGCCCACAGGTGCTCAATAGGGTTCAGGTCTGTCTGGAGACTTTGGCCACTCCATCACATCACCTTCAGCTTCCTCAGCAAGGCAGTTATCATCTTGGCGGTTTCTGAATGGAGCACATCATGTTCTGCTTCAGAATATCACAGTACATGTTGGAATCCATGTTTCCCTCAATGAATCTCAGCTCCCCAGTACCAGCAGCACTCATGCAGCCCCAGACCATGATGCTACCACCACCGTGCTTGACTGTAGGCAAGACACAATTTTCTTGGTACTCCTCCCCAGAGGTCTCATCAGGCCACAGAACATGGTTTCAATATTTCCCTCAAGATCCAATATTTCCCATGCAACTGCATTTACCACATGTAGTAATATGTAATAAAACATCAAATTCAATCAAAACATTGTAGTTTTAACTGTATAGTCTCAAGGCAACTTCCAGCAATCAACAGAGTGACACATGTGTAAACTTTGAGTATTTATTGAAAACGACAAGCCACATTTGAGCTCAGGCAATGCTACCAGCATTGGAAGCAATTCTGGGCCACAGGTCTGCACATTCCTTGGCTACGGGTCCTGTGATAGCAGAGCCTAAAAAAAAGAAAGAAACTATTTAGCACTGCACCTGAGCTAAATCCAGAATTTGAAAACTAAAATGACATGCATCAAGAGGAGAAGTGAAATGTTCCATCACGGATTGAGATTTAACAGCACATGGCGACTGCCATCTCACCCATTAGCAATGGGATTTACTATTTCCTTCTACGACGACTCACCCAGCCACTGATCAGACAAAGCAAGTGCTTTAAGAAGGATACTGAAATTCATCGGAAATTCATCACTTACCTTTCATTTCTCCTTTGTTATTCACTATGACCCCTGCATTGTCTTCAAAGTATAGAAACACGCCATCTTTTCGCCGATACGACTTGCGCTGTCGTATCACCACCGCAGGATGCACTAGATTAAAAGGGGACATCTGTATAAGCATAGATGCATCTCTAAGCCAAAGGCAGCAGAGTGCAGTTGCAACAGGCTCTGAAAACTCACCCTTTTTCCTGAGCTCTGGCTTGCCTTTCTTCACTGTGGCCATAACCATGTCTCCCACACCAGCAGCAGGGAGCCTGTTCAGACGACCCTTGATGCCTTTGACGGATATGATGTACAGGTTCTTGGCACCTTAACAAGAGAAAAGCCACAAAAAAAAAAAAAAAAAAAAAAAAAACTGCGTAAAGACCAACTTAATTGCCTTTAGTCAAGTTATATTTTCATGCTGCAAGTTAGTTTAATAGACTCAAGTCTGCTAACCCTCAGCCAAGAAAAGGCCAGCGACAAACCGCAAACATTTGTTCCATCACGGATTGAGATTTAACAGCACATAGCAACTGCCATCTCACCCAACAGCAATGGGATTTAATATTTCCTTCTACGACAACTCACTCAGCCACTGATCAGTCAAAGCAAGTGCTTTAAGAAGGACAACAAGCAGATATGCCCAGTGCTGGAAGATCTCATACCTGTGTTGTCAGCGCAGTTGATGACCGCTCCCACCGGGAGACCCAGTGAGATGCGGAACTTGGCTCCCGATGACCCACCACGTCCTGAAAAAAAAAAAAAAAAAAATATGATTTTACAACTACCAAAATACACCAAATCACACTTGCTTTCCATTTAGCAAGCTGTTGTGACATTTCATTTATTTATAAGTGACCGACTTTGCAGTCACAAGAAACCTAGTGACTTAAAATTATGCTGACAGCCGTTTACGTACAAAACTTTTTTTTGGCCAAGAACATTTGTCATTCACATTAAAACTATTCTGAACTCATTATAATGGAAGGAAAGATCTGGGGCCAGTTGCACAAACATAGCCATTATGTTAAGACGGTGTCTTAAGTATTAGTATGACCAACTAGCAGTTAGTCAAGGGGCAATCAAGTCTTACTTTTTAGTCTATGATTTATGTAATTGACTTAAAAAGGTTATGGACAGGCTTAAAAAAAAGAAAAGTGTTGACTAACCTTTAAGACTAGTCTAAGCAGTTTATGCAACCGGCCCATGGTGCAATTTTTTTTTGAAGTGATAAAGGCTTCAGTCACCATTCACTTTAGGTGCATAAAAAACCTAATGAAAATGAATGGTGACACGATGTTCATTCCACCTAAAATCCAGTGTTTCCGACAAAAGAAATTAAGTTAAACAGGTTTGTAACAACGCGTGTAAAAAATTAAAGACGTTTGTTTAAAAGAAAAACTATTTAAGTCTGCAAAATGACTAGTTGTAACCGACACTGCAGCAAGTTTATTGCAGTGAACTGATGTTTGCTGCCTGATACTAGTCTTATTTCATTCAGATACAGTTACGAAGACAATATTTCATAATCAAGCAAATTAACAATTCGGTTGCCCTGTCCGATAACGTTAAATCTCCAAAATATGCATTTCTCAAACACGCTAACGTGCGATTCAACTCGCCACCATTCAGTCGAGTGTCTACCCGCTTCGCTCCATGTTTAAGTCTCGCACATCCAGCGCTTTTACAGTCATTGTTAATTTTACATGGTAGTTATCATAGAACAGTGTTCCAGAACTTGCTTTCGCACAACAAAGTTTCCGTACGAAGTGTTTAATCACCACTACTGGCTCCACGAGCTTGGGTCTACGTACTTAGCAAACATGGCTCCTACAGCTAGCGGAAAAGGTACATAACTATTTTAATCAAAGATATAATTGAGCATTTACATCAATATATCGAAAATATAATTCCTATATGACCAGTTAAACCCATGTATTGAGTTAAGGAGCTTTAGCGTACCTCATTTCAAGGATGATTTTAGATTTCCATGTGTGTTTCTTACCTCTCTTAGACATTGTCGCCGAAAGGGAAAGAGGAAGAGAGAGAAAGGAATGCTGGGATATATTCGTGCGCGCACCACAGATCTCACAGCATCCGGCGCAAACTTCATCGTCATTCTCTGTGCATCGCCACCTAGCGTGGCGTATGTCTCCTACTGTATCGCGCTATTATGCATTTCAGTAATTCACGGCTATAGCCATTAAAATCGAATTAAATATGAGATCCAAATTGGCCAAATACATTGTCATTAACGTGAAAATATAAAGTGACGTGTAAGACACATTGACCATGAAACTTCAGTGCGGCTCACATCATGCAGGCTACTAACACATTCTGAAATCCACGTTGGTTTTTCAATTAACTTAAACTTTTTACTCATATTGTTATTTGCATAATAATATGTGAATAACACACACACACACACACACACACACACACACACACACACACACACACACACACACACACACACACACACATATATATATATATATATATAAATTAAAATGAGAAAATAATGAAGTGAAATAGGCTAACTTGGACCTCACTGTATAGTAGCTGAAATAATTACTTTTACAAACTTTTAAAAATGACAAATTTCACTCAGATATTGCTAGTAAATTTCACAAATAATTGCAAAGAAATGGCAAGAAACACATTGAATCAATGCAATGAGATGTTCAAACAAGGAGAAAATACTCAAACCTGAGGTGTTTTAATACATAAAATATGTTTCCATTTTACCAGCCCTTTGAAATTGGGTGTTTCACATTGCATGCTCCACTTCCCATCTAAACAAATACATTTATCATCTTTATGGAGAAAAGAAATTTTACTGGTTAATCTAATACAGTATAATTTTTTTTTAAATCTGTTGGAATAAACATTGAAATTATTAATTAAATGCATATTGGCCATAGAAAATAAAACGTTTAAAATTCAACAACATGCTAAAAGAATGAGATGGAAAAATGGGAGATATATTTTTTTTAAATACAATGCTCCATATTTAAATATGCTGTATAACTGCGTCTTAATATGATATACAATAATATACACACATTTACACTACCGTTCATAAGATTGGGGTGGATTGGCCTTAATGTTTTTGAATGTCTCTTTTGTTCACCAATGCTGCATTTATTTGATCACAAATACAGTAAAAATTTTAATATTGTGAAGTATTATTGCATTCTATAACTGTTTTCTATTTAAAGGCACACCGCGGAACTTTTGGCCACTAGTGGCGCTCGACCAGTAACTTTCACGTCTAGCGTCCCTAGAGGCCACAAGCTCCGCAGCACTGTCGCAAAAGTCAACAAACAGTCAACCGGTCAGCCCATAGACAGTGGGTCAGCCTCCCGTGTCTTTAGATTGTGTGCAGTGTTTGAGGCGGGCAGCCTTGCCGCGCTCGATTCCCTTACACTGCACACGTCTGCGGCGCATTACGGCTGCGACACGGCTACCGGAGCTGATCGCGGCCATTCTAGTCAATGCGTGTGTTTACACCGGCCGCGAAGCGGCGCGTTTCAGAAGCTTCCCAGAAGTGAGTTGGCACTGTGTGAAGGACGGAATAAAACCGTGTCGCAGCCGTAATGCGCCGCAGACGTGTGCAGTGTAAATGAGGGGTTATAGCAGTCTGCTGAGAGAGAGCGAGCGGGGCGAGCCCCGTGGGGCTTAGTGCTAACATGTCTGTGAGTGAATGTGGGCGCGGGACGGCGGGCACATTTACTGCACTAAAAACACCGTCGGCCTGAGCTGACTGTAACTTATGTGTGTTGGTTTCGTTTTACAGAAACCGTGGGACATGTTGTGTGTAGTGTTTGTGGGCACTGAGTCGTGGGCACGTTCACTACATTTAATGTACATTTGACATGAGTCGACTATTTGTGCGAGCCCTGCACTGTGGCGGGCTGTGTTTGTGTGTAGAAATGAACAATGGGCTGTGGGCATTTTATTACACTCATAACACCATCGGCTGTGGCCGGAATACCAGAAAATACTACACTACTTATATGATTTATCTGGGTCACCTTGGAAACGGCATTTGTGTGCAGGCAAGCGTCAGCATCGGTCGGGCACCCCTCCTCCTCCTGTAGCTCACGCCAGCGAGCGAACGCTGGACCAATGGTGATCCTCATCCTGGCTTTACATTTGTCACTATGCTTTTTTTTTTTTTTTTTTTTGTCCTCTGACAAAACCTTTGCCTTCTTCCTTGTAGCTGTTGGTTCGGCCATGACGAAAACATACAGACGGCAATCAAACGCGAGTTGAGCACTCACGTCAGAATCTGAGGAAGTTGTGGGTGGTGGGGGAAGTGACGTATGCCGTAAAGCGGTTGAATTTTGTAGTTCTTTTTGTGCTCGGGTTCCTACCCGAAACCCGAAGTTACATAGTGCTAGTAAAAGCGATACAGACACCTTCAGGCTACGGCAGACGTGTCATTCAACCTATTGTAAGTCGATGTACCATCTCAATGGGTTTTGGTAATATATTATAAAGGTTGAAAAGTTCCACAGTGTGCCTTTAAATATGTTTTAAAATGTAATTTATTCTGGCTCCAGTCTTCAGTGTTACATGATCCTTCAGAAATCAAGCTGCATTTCTAATTTCGGGCCAGTGCAAGCCAGGGCTTAAACGGTGCCTGCTCAATTAAACGGTGCCAACATGATCAGTGCCTGCACTATTAACTTTCCCTCCACTCATTCCTCTCACTGAACTGTCTGTTATAGCCTATTTATGTGTGTGTGTTCTTGTTTAACCCACATTTTGAGGGCCAAATGCCCCCACAAAGATAGAAATATGGAAGACACTTGATATAGGCTATTGCATTTTTATAGCTTATTGTTGGGTTTGTTATGTTTTTATCTTTTATAACTTTAATAGGCCTAGGCTACAGCACTTTGGTATAGGCCTATATATCAGTGGTAACTAACTCGATCTCGTCAACTGTATATGAGATTGATCCTGTAAATAGAAAAATAGAACATGAAAAAAATAACAATAAAATAGCCCATTATGTCTGATAACCGAAATTATACAATCTGCAAACACAATAACTATTATGCTAACACAAAACAGTTTATGTCCTATAGGCCTACTTTACTGTAGTTCGTTGTTTCTTTGTTTATTTATTTAGCCCTATTTATTTATTTATTTGTTCAATTTTTGTAACAGCAGCATAATAAACCAATGAGCCGCGTTTCGTTTGTCACCTGCTATTGTTTCGGTTTTCAGCATATTTTTCTTCCAAATGTTCAGCAGCTATGAGTTAGCCTGTTGGACATTTCATTTATTTAGCCTATTGTTTAATTGGAGTTACGAAGGTTTTACTAGTGTAATATTACTTATTTATCATGCATAATGCAAACAGTCCTGGCTCCGGACGACCGTGTTTAATTTACATGTTGAATTAGGCTATACCCTGCGATTATGAATTGTATTTTTTATTGTGGTAGTTATGTTACATATGGAGGATGAAACCTGTAAAAGCAATAAATAAATAAATAAATACGCAAATTAATGAATACATAAATAAGTCCACAAAAATATCTATATAAATAAATATATCAATAAATTATGTTAAAGGAAATGCTATACTGAACGTTGACCTCATAAGGTGATTATGCAAAGGAGTTGTGGAAAGAAGTAGCCTGGCTTATTTTATCTGCTTATACAACAATATTTTTATTTTTGAAATAAAGAATGTACTGTTTTTGATTTGGGACACCGCGTCAAAAGAGATGGACGACAGATTAAAACTGCTAAATCTATGTGGCCAGTTTCATCTCCATAAATGTAAAGTCACTGATTCTAAGCCCAATTTTAGGCTTTTCTGTGTTGATTTAAAGTTATTATATGACTCTCTTTATTTATTACAAGAAAGCCGCTAAAACTGCTCTGTTGTTAAAAAAATTATAATTATGGTTTCATTAGCCTATATGTTACCTCCTGATTTCCTGAAGATGACAAAAAATATTTTCCGTTGCTTCATGTTATTTATTTCTATTTATTTTTAATCATGTATTGTGTTTAATTTCTATTGCTTTATATTGTTTTATGAATAATTTTTTTAGTAGACTATCTCTTACTGTATCTTGTTCGAAAATGTACTTTATTGCCTTGCTCTACCTCGAGTTCCTTATCCTATTCTTTTGTGTGATACATGTGTCCCCTGTGATCTTTGTTCAATTTAAAAATAATAATAATAAAAGAAAAATTAATTAGCAGATGCGTTTGGCAGGCGCAGACGTTCATTGAGACGAGTGCATGTTGCAAAGTCATATTAAAGAGCCGATCGGAACGTCATACCTCTGTTCGTAACCACTCCTCAAGCCCGAGTTGGCCCGCTTTGGCCCGACAGTGGAAACGCGGCTATTCTAACATCTTGATTTGGTGCTCATGAAACATTTCTTATTATCATCAAAGTAGAAAACTGCCTAAAATATTTGTGTGGGAACCCAAACTTTGGAATGTTATTGTGCATAGAGTAATGAAACATTGTGATACTGCAATTGCACGTTGTTTCTCAGAGGGTTTCGGATCTGGGTCAGGGTGGGCGGGGGTGGTGAGGTTGGCTAAAGAGGTCAGCATTGGCAGTTATCCCAGCGCAGGTTGTGTTCACCCTGGGCACAGACACTGCATGTGCTCTGCATCACCTCCTGCCCGTCAGGAGAGCTGGTGCCAGGCACACTTCCCTTCATGGGATGGCATCCAGCCTGGGTGAGAACACTCTCTCTTTCTCCTTCTCCTTCTCCTGCTCCTCCATCTGCTTGGATGTGTTGTCGGAGTCAGTGGCTTCATTGTCTCGCTGGCGCTCCTCACAGGTAGCGTGAGGGTGCGCCTGCCACGTTCCATCCTGGTATGTGCAGAAACACACCGTCTGCTCATCAATCTCCACACGCTCTCCAGCTGAGATCACGCGATTTCCAGCAAAGCAGTTTGGCCCTTTGAAGAGGAGACAGGAGCACCAAGCTCAGTATTTGGGGGGGAATTATAGCTCACCTAAAAATGAAAATTCTGTCAGCATTTACTCATGTCGTTCCAAACCTGCATGACTTACTTTCTTCTGGAACACAAAAGGAACTGTTTCTGTCCATTTAAACACTTTTGACTGAACATTTTTGTGGCGTGAACAGATTTTTTTTTTCTTTTCAAAATTGATGTTTTTATGTTCCACAGAGGAAAGAAAGTCATGCAGGTTTGGAACGACATGATGGTGAGTAAATGATGACAGAATTTTCTTTAGTGGGTGAACTATCCCACTATTGCGCTCAAACAGAAATGACCAGGTAGATGCCCACAAATGCATTACGTTTATACACAAAGTCTATTATACGTTTTAAAATTGATACACATTACACACCCATTTCTACATAAACATTACACACACACAATCTGTCCACCTCTTGCCTTCTGTTGTCAGGGATGGCCTAATGCCCCATAGTGCCTGTGCCATCCCAGCATGCAGTGAACTAGTTCCTATTTATAGAAGGCATGTTGGTAGTAAGCAATCTATCGAACAATTCCATTGCATCATTCTTTTTCCATGACATCACTGCGAACTATGCAGTAACAAATCAATCGAAAAAAAGAGGTGTGGGCTCCACATCACCAATGAAACTTCCTCATTGATCCTTACAACACAACCTACATGCCTCTCAAAACACTATAGATGCATGTGATGGAGTTTGTAAAAACATTATTGGATGCGCGTGTATTGTTGAATGTAAGGACTCTTACCGCTTTTGCACACAGGACAGCAATGGTTGGGTTCGTATACAGGATTTACACAATGTAAGGCAGGACAGCCGGATATGGTGCAGTAAACTTCTCTGTTGACTTCACACCGGCAACGCTCACAGGGTGACAACTATTTTACACAGGAACAAATGCATTAATGTAAATATAAGTCAATTATGAGTAATTAAAAAAGTAAACAAGCCATTAAAAGAGAATTGAAACAGTCTTATATACCGTTTAATCATTTACCTTTAGTTTTCTTTATCCCACACAAAAATAATAGATCATTGACTAGAGTCAAACAAAACGCAGATATTATACAATTATCATGCAATTAATATTAGCCTATGTCCCAACTTGAAACTCTTAGTTAATAGGCTAGCACATATCCTGAAAAGTGTGTAGTGTTGTGATGGGGACGGGGAGAGATGATAAAGGTCGTTATTCTACGCTATATTATATTCTTTACATTGTTGTGATAAACATCAGTAAAGAAAAAAAGGTAATTCATTATTATAACAGGTCATTATTATAATATCCGGTTAGACCAATATAGTGAAATGTATTTTCCAGCCTAAGAATTTATACGCGGACTCACCCTAAATTCCTCCAGCAATCTGTAAGTTTTGCCTCCATACACACAAACTTTACTGATAGCTTCACACACGGGACAGCACGACTTGTATTTGATGCGCGTGCATCTCGGGTGTATACGCGGGCACTTGGGTCTGACACACACCGGTCCATCCTCTGTGCAGGTGCAGGGACACGCTGTGGAGCTCGGATAATAAACCTCTCCGATGCCATACACAAAACCTTGATCGTTGATACAGAACTTGCCACGATAGTCACCAAATTCGTATTCCAGCTCGGATTTGGAAGAGTACTCTGATGCGCTTTGGAGAACGAAGCACTGGAGTGCAAACGAGAAGCACAGGACGAGAGATCGCATCGTTACTGGCAGTAAGTTGTGGACTGGTTTGTCTTCATGTGCGTGGGTCAGTGCATGAACAACTGCCCAATGACATACACAAGAGAAATGACCCACCTCTAAATGCCACTATCGCTACTGTAACTGCAGGCTTTCAGGCAACTGTATTTATTTATTTATTTATTCGATGACTATCAGTAAAAAACAAACTTTTACGTTACATTTAGGCTACTTTTTACAATAATAACGACTGCGTTATAATTTGTGAATCATTTAATCTTTTTTAATATTTTTAAGACTTTTCCCTTAAAATAACATTTAACCGATGGATGGATGGATGGATGGATGGACAACTGGTTTAGGATACAAATATCTCACGTGAAGAGCTTCACACAAACGGTGGTTACGTACCGATCCAAGTGGTGCTCACTCACTGCAGGCTATAAATGACATCCAGCTCTCCCTCTCTGGACGTCCGGCTCCACCTCGATCTGATGGGTGGAGAGATAGAGTTATGGGTAGGTAGGTTTATGGTGTGGTTGGACCTTCTAGCTCCACCCAAAAACGGCCAAATGAGAGGTGCCCTTATGAATAATAAGTAAGTTCATTTTATGAAGTAAGTTCAAGTATATTTTAAGTATACTTTATGTACTAAGTATACTATATCCATGTACTAGTAGTAAACTTGTAAGTGTACTATTTCAATACAGCTTGGGACTAAATTGAGTGGTGCAGGTATGATGTCACTTCCGGTTCCATCGCCTGAAGTCAATAGGCTTTTTTTTTTTTTTGTCAATTGGCTTTATGCACAGCTTCACTACTTCCTGAACTTCAGCCAGCTCCTTTGTTTCCTGTCTGCCATTATTGGACAAACTGATTAATCCAGGTGTGCCTAATTGTTGTTACTGAGGCCAGGCACACCTGGATTAATCAGTTTGTCCAATAATGGCAGACAATTAGGAGCTGGCTGAAGTTCAGGAAGTAGTGCAGCTGTGCATAAAGCCAATTGTTTTTTTGAATGGGGTTTTGGTTAAATGGCTGAAATAAGGTCTGTGGTGAACACACAAGTTCAAGACACTTTCACGTTTTATTCTATGACAAAAAATACATCAGTATTACCCCACTCGTGATTTTTTTAAGTTATTATGTGTCTTGAAAAAAGTGCTATTTTAATTTAATTTAATCTTAAATACATAAAAAGTAGACTGACCGTATACTTATGTTTAGTTTAAAAATTAGTTTATTAAATACTAATAGCACACTTGAATAAACTTATTTTTCGTAAGGTACATGTTCGTCTTGAAGCGGTGCATGCGCAGCGATCAGTGTATGAAATCGGACTTCAAATAAACAAATGCATGCGTCGTAACATCAAAAGACATCAAATTACAGGTTTAATATCCAAATAGTAATACCTGCAACTCGTAAGAGAGGTAATCAATAACTGAACAAAGATTACTCACTGATATGAACGCACTCTGTCAAACCGATCAAACTTTATGCGCTATTAGACCACGCCCATACTATTGTTGTGCCGAATTTCGACCCCCGCCAAATTATTACCCCCCTAGTATTGGTAGGTTTAGTTGTGGGTGAGGGGTTAGGATTAGGCAATCAGGTAGCCTACTGACTTCAACGAAGGGGGTAATAATTTGGCAGGGGGTCGAAATTCGGCACAACAGGGGCAGTGTCTCTATTATAAATATAATACAGATTGGAGAGCCTTTTTAAAAGTAGGATTTAACACTCCACCCATGGCTCTGTCTGCAGTGAGCAGCCTCTCTACCGATCTAGATTGAATCCATCATCAAATTAGCCCGATTAGACTACTTTTACTCCTTTTCTGCCATCTGCTGGTCAATTTCAAATAGCAGTGGCATGCTTATTGTGTGAAATAAACAAACTGTCTCAGAACTACAAAATTTAGTGATCTATCTAACAAACATTTCTTTCTTGGTTGATCATAGTCATTTTCAGAACCATCTCACACATTGCACATGTGCTAAAACATCTCCTTTTACACTTGACTTACAGGGAAAAGCTAAATAAGTTCAGGACAGGGCTCTCAAGCATATTGTTAGTGCGGCCTCTCTAACAATATGCTTACGGAGCACTTTTTACTCTCTGTGTCAGACATATTGTTCTGTCCATTGTTCCAGGTTTTTTTTTTTTTTTTTTTTTTTTTTTTTAAATAAGTCTGTTTGCTTCTGGTTGATATTGAGAGCTGGATACCTATTAAAGACACTGACAGTTCTTTTTTCAGGTTCAAACTGGACCACTTGCATCTACTGCAGAGGGTTTGGGAGTTGATGAAAAGCTAATAATTAATTGAATTATAAAAAGGTACAAGAAAAATAAATTAATAATTTATTAAAATAAAACAATTAAAAATAAAATACTAAAACATATTAAATATTAGTTTGATTACATTTTATTTTAAGGCATCCTTATTACAGTGTAATTATACATTTAAGTACTTCGTAATATCCATTAACTATGTATTTAGGATTAGGATTAGGTTTGGTTTAGGGTTAGTTGCATAGTTATGCATAATTGATAGTTATTACTAACAAGTCTAACAGTGACACTGTAAAATAAAGTGGTACAATTTTATTTGTTTACCATATGCCATGTGACCATTAATGGATACTAAAGAATCGTGAACATGTGAATGTGTTGTTAAATTATTGAAATAACATTAAAATCTCAGGGTGTAGCCTACTTCAAGTAAAATTATTTACGTAAAAAGGTTTTGGCTGACAAAAAAGTTTGGAAATCCACTGTGACCTCGGTTACAATCGCTGCAATTTAGACTGGTTTGATTAGTCTCTTCTTTTTTGGTAATTGATGTTTTTTTTCTGTCAACCTAAGCCTGTTCCGAAACAAACCTTGCGACTTTATAAATAAATGTTGCATCATTTGCAATACAATTACAGTGTATTAGTAAAGATATGCACCGCCCACGAATTTTCATTGGATAATAACACACGTGATTTGGGTTCTAAAGAAAACGATTGGCATCAACTCTGTTGTATAAATCATGAGGATAAGAAAAACACACATGACTAATTTTCTTAACATTTTAAACTAACACTTAAACGTGCTCAGTGACCGAGTTGTAAGATTTGAGTGTGCTATTATCAGTTTAGCATGTTATTGTGATACCGCGAGTAATATGTAGCGATACGTGTTTATCTCGACGCAGCGGGTTTTAGCCTAGTGGCAAAGAGTAGTGGTGAGCGGCGTTACAGGCTGAATGTGTTTGTGCTGCATCAGCTTACAATTGTTTCCCCAAAAGCCGTATCGTTTTAAAAATTTTTAGCTTGATTTTAAAAATTGCTGCCAGAGAGATGGCATCGTTAACGACGACGGATCCGGTTTTTAATCCCGGGGCCATAGGGTTGTCAGAGTCCGTAGTCCCCGCTAGCATGTTTGCTCCTGGCCGGGGATGTGGCGATGATGACGGGGCAGAGTGCTCCGAGGACGAGGAGATGTTCAACGGCGAGGCCGTGGATCTTGGCATAGACTTCTCTAGCAAGGTAGGCCTCAAACAGAGTTAGCTTAGTCGGAGTGTTTACAAAAAAACCGTATTATTAATAACATGACTACATGTTTAAATTTTGAAGTGACTTTTAATCATGCGATTTGATTTGCATCACTTTTTTGATATTTTCACGGTTTTATCAGCTGACGGCTGAGTGCTTGTACCTGTAAACCTAAGCTAAACCGGCTATGTTCAACGATGTTTTTTTAAAAACATATCTCTTGTCTGTATCATATGCACCCATTGTAGTGCAGCATTCGAATATAGCTTTCTAATTTATCCATCTTTGTGGGGGTTTTGGTGTAAAGCAAGCTGATTTTGGGCTGTAAATCTGTATTAAACCCAATGAATGAAAGACATCAGTGAGGGAAGAGATGACAACCTGACAACACAAAACCTGATGAAATATCAACGCAACACAGAGGGTTTTCCCTTTAGCAGGAGGGAGTCACTGAGGAGATAAACAGATCAAAGTGCATTTTACACCAATTGATACATTTATTTATGGTCCTAAAGTTTTAACACCATTGTAGAAACAGAGCTATGATCAGGGTTATTGTAGTCAACTTATACCATTAAAAAATATACTTACTTGAAATAAAATACGTCTGCAGAAATACAATTTAATCTAATTTAATTTCAGATAGTTGCCAAGGTATAATTTCTCATTTTCACTTGGTTTTACTTGATGTACTAAAATGTCTAAAACTAAAACTGTAATAAAATTGATAAACTATATTGGTACATTAAAATTAACCTAATACAAAAAAAAAAAAAAAAAAACCTTCATAAAATAACCAACCTCTTGAATATGAACATTCTGTAAGTAATAATAACCAGCCAGTGCTACTGTAATGTTTCCAGTTAGTAAGTAATCCAACAGTGACTAGCCATCATTTGTTCTTTCGATACAAATAGTTACTATTTTGTTACAGGTAATAAATACATTTTGCCATTAAGTTCTATATCTTAAGCACAGAACCTATCAACGATTTATTCCAAATAGTATTTGATTGTTTTTAACCTCATTCTAGTTTTACTAGTAACTATTCAATAGTTTTAGTAGTTGTTTCTGATTAACTATTAAAATAGTTAAATTTAAATATATATATTACAGTTTCCCTTGTTTTAGACACTAGTGTACATTCCAGTTGATACTAGTAACAATTTTAATCTTTATAGCAATATTTTTAATTGAACTATTATGTACCTGTTCTGACTAATGATGTCACATGGCAAATGACTAGTGAGATGAGAAATGGTACTAGTATGAATTGGAATAGATATATTAATGTCTCATAAATGGGTAAAAGTAGAAATGCACACACGCCGAGAAATAAGAACTAGTACCTAATGAGAAGTACAAATATTTCATGCACTCTCTCAAATACTATGATATATTAAAATGACATGCATTATAATTACCCACGAATTAGAAAAATGTTGTCTAAGATGGTTTTAGATGATGAAAAGCATGTCACAACACGGCACAGCTCAACACGTCAGTTTCTAATTTAGACCTACATAGCCACCAGTGCCTAACCTTGATGGATGTGGGAACCAAGGCAGATGAGAGTTCGTGTTTTCTGCTGAGACAGCGGCCTCCTTATCATTCATCAGACCGTTTCAGTCTGAGGGAGGATCTGTTGAATCATATGAATATGGCTGGAGCTGAGCTCTGTTTCTGCTAAACAGTGTTTTGCATGGAGCTCCGTCACTCCACATTCTGCAACATTACTCCTCAAGACATCTGATGTAACAAGCAGTAAAGTCAGACAACTGTTCTCAAAGTCCAATGATGACTTTGTTGTTCCTTTTTTACACTGACGTTGAGTCAGATGGCGGGTAACAAAACAAACAGGAGAAATTTCTTTTCCACAACTAATCTGTGTTTTATATGACTCTTTTCCTTTATGCATCATAGCTAGCCCTGGTCAGTCCCAATGGAGAACAGTATGACTTGTTACTACGGCAACTGCGTGAGAGGATGGACGAGGGCTGCGGGGAGACCATCTATGTCTTGGGCGTGGGTTCAGGTAAGACACTGAAATGAACCCAACAAGACTCAATTTAGATTTTTTATCTTTTATTGTTTTTTTTTTAATACTCACATGCTTGTGTCTCTCTCTTTAAGATGGTGGAGACTATGGTTTGAATGAGAGTGATATGCAGGCGTCTGTGGCCACAGTAAGGTCCATGTGTGAGCAGATCGAGGCAGACCTCATCCTGTTGAGGGAGCGAACTGAGGCTGGTGGCCAGGTCAGAGATTACCTTATTCGCCGCCAGGTGGGAGAAGCCGACTTCTTGGAGGTTAGGTGAGTGATGTCAATGGAGAAAGTGGCCTTTTCTTGCAATTTAAGGGACAGTTCAGCTCAACCAAAAATAAATACTTGGACTCATCTATTCATTGTTGTTCATTTTTTTTTTTTTCTTCTTTTTTTTTTTTGTGGAACACAAAATGAGATGTTTATTAGAATGTAGAGGCTGCTATTTTCCACACAACAAACGTTGACCGTGAACAAATGCAAAGAGTGAGAAAAGTTAATCCAAAAGATCAAGAATGTACACTACCATTCAAAAGTTTGCAGGTTGGTATGACTTTTTTGTTGTTGAAAGAAATTAATACTTTGATTCACATTAAATTGATCAAAAGTGACCGTAAAGACATTCATAATGTTATAAAATATTTATATTTCAAATATATGCTGCCCTTTTGAACTTTCTATTCATCAAAGAATCATAAAAAACACTGCATCAGAGTACACACAAATATGTTAAGCAGCACAACTGTTTTCAAAATTGATGATAAAAATATTTCATGCGCATTGGGGTGGGTGTTATGGAAAGATATCATATCACAATTCTTTTCAGGAAGATCACAAGTCACGATTTTATCATATTATAAATCACTGAGCAGTACAGCAAAACTAATTTGCCTATTTAAAACCATTTAGCCTTACAAGGTAACAAAATATGAAAGAAAAAGAATGACTTCACTGTATAAATTATACATTGATTCTTATTAAAGCTACTTAAGTTATTCACCGAAGAGCAGTAAGTGATTTTCTTTTTTTATTGGATTAACAATAATACAGTAATTACAAACTGCAGTAGGTATATTAGGCTGCTGTCACTTTCAGATCTCATGCACTGATCTAATAAACAGACACGCATCCGATTTTCTCCCAACTTTTACTTAAGACATAACTGACTGTGTTTATGTAAACCTTGTGTGTATTTGACAGAGAACTTAGTTCAGTACAGACGCGCTATGTTAGCGCTCAGAAAAGCATATGTCAGAACAGCGTGCAAATAAAATGTTTAACTGGCAAGGCAAACAATAAACTTTCATGATTGCAAAGAACTGCAATGTCACATGAGCATAACCCTACGGCTGTGTTGCTAAACATATGATGTGAATGTATGTCACGTAGTACAGTTTGCTGGGACGGGGCGCCGCGCCAGAACTGCAACTGATAGAATGTGCATTACTATATTTCTTAGAAAGCAGACCGTGGAGACATTTTAATCGTTCATGATCTAAAATCGTGATATCGCAAATCCCTTCTTGAGCATCAAATCATTTGATTTCTGAAGGATCATGTGACACTGAAGACTGGAATAATGATGCTGAAAATTCAGCTTTGCCATCAGAGGAATGCATTACATTTTAAAATGTATTAAAACGGAAAAGTAATTTTTAAATTGTAATATTTCACAATATTACAGTTTGTAGAGCACTTTTATCAAATAAATGCATTCTTGTTGACCATAAGAGACTTCTTTCAAAAACATGAAAAAATCATACTGACCCCAAACTTTCTAATGGTAATGTACCATATCAATGACCCATAAGACTTGTGCTCTGTTAAAAGGGCATCTTTAATGTGTCTTCCAAGATCTATAAGACACTTTTACTTTGAGTGTAGCCATTTCAGGTTACTAACTCAAAGTCATGATGGTGTTTACCTCAGGGTGGCTGTAGTGGGGAATGTGGATGCCGGTAAAAGCACTCTGCTAGGGGTGCTGACTCATGGAGAGTTGGATAATGGTCGTGGCTTTGCGCGACAGAAGCTCTTCAGGCACAAGCACGAAATGGAGAGTGGGCGCACCAGCAGCGTGGGCAACGACATCCTGGGATTTGATCAAGAGGGCCAGGTAGTCAACAAACCCGACAGTCACGGAGGTAGCCTGGATTGGACCAAGATCTGTGAGAAGTCTTCTAAAGTTATTACCTTTATTGACCTTGCTGGCCATGAGAAGTACCTGAAGACGACTGTGTTTGGAATGACAGGTCATCTGCCTGATTTCTGCATGCTAATGGTAAGGAGGGAAGACAAAGCTCTGTTTCAAAACCTATTGAGGCTTGATGTTTTGATAGGCAGCTACAGTTTCTCCAATGGCAGCATCCTATTTGAAATGTTCTTCATAGGCAGCAACACTGTCAACAGTCACTCACGTGCATTACATAAATTATATGAGTGAGAAAATTTGCAGGCAAAAAGGTCCATTGTTTATTTTTAATAGTGTAGCAATGTATTAAGCACAGATCACACAGAGGTCATTCTCAAACCGAGCAGCTGTTTGTTGGTCAATGCGGCAAATTGTGTGACCAATTTGAACCTGTTGCAAAATCTGTGTATGGAAATCTTTCGCCCTCATGCGAAACTCCTAGTCGTGTAGATTCCTATTGCATTGACTGGATTTCGACCTCTAAAATTAGCTGAATAATGGTAAATGTGACTGCACCTTAAGGCAACATGATTTAGTAAGGAACTATTTGGATCAAACTTCATGTTGGGAGTACACTTGCTAGGCCTAAAAGTGCTGCCAAAGTGGACAGCTCATATTGTTTGGAACAAAGTGAACTGATGATTGTTGTGGACATATATAAATTTACTCCTTTTCACTCTCTTTCACAGATTGGAAGTAATGCAGGAATTGTTGGCATGACCAAAGAGCACCTGGGTTTAGCATTAGCTCTCAATGTTCCCGTGTTTGTGGTGGTTACTAAGATTGACATGTGTCCAGCTAATATTCTTCAAGGTGAACCATGAGTCCACAAATAATGCCATTGTTTAATTGACTGTAAATTATGGAAAGCTGTAGGTATTGCCATGCTAGTGAATTTAACACTGTCTGCCTTTTCAGAGACCTTGAAGCTCCTGCAGAAGATATTAAAGTCTCCAGGCTGCAGAAAGATCCCTGTCCTAGTCCAGAACAAAGATGATGTCATCGTCACAGCATCCAACTTTAGTTCTGAGAGGTAGTGCCCCACAATACACGCATTGCTTACCTGCCAACTTTAAACTCTGTTATTCTCCAGACTTATCTATATTTGTGTGTTTTGTAGAATATGTCCCATCTTCCAGATCTCTAACGTCACAGGAGAGAACATGGACCTACTGAAGATGTTCCTAAACCTGCTCTCCTCCAGAAGCTCATTCAAAGACCACGAGCCTGCCGAGTTCCAGATAGATGACACCTATTCAGTGCCAGTAAGCATGCTTTCTGTCTCTGTTAATATATTTATGTTTCCCCTCTCTCAACGGTCTGATTTTTTTTGGGGGGAAGGGTGTAGGAACGGTAGTGTCTGGGACCACGTTACGAGGGCTGATTCGACTCAATGACACTTTGCTTCTTGGACCAGACCCTTTGGGCGCTTTCCTCTCCATCACCGTCAAATCCATTCACCGCAAGAGGATGCCTGTGAAAGAGGTCCGTGGTGGACAGACGGCCTCTTTTGCTCTGAAAAAGGTATGTGGCGTGGGTTCCAGACTAAATAAATTGTCTCAGTGGACATCCATGACTTGCGGAGTCCCTCAAGGCTCAAATTCTTGCGCCACTCCTGTTCAACCTGTATATGCTCCCACTGAGCCAAATAATGAGAAAGAACAAAATTGCTTACCACAGCTATGCAGACGACACACAGCTCTACTTAGCCCTATCGCCTAACGACTACAGCCCCATTGACTCCCTGTGCCAATGCATTGATGAAGTAAACAGTTGGATGTGCCAAAACTTTCTACAGTTAAACAAAGACAAAACTGAAGTCATTGTGTTTGGAAACAAAGATGAAGTTCTCAAGGTGAACGCATACCTTGACTCTAGGGGTCTAACAACTAAAAATCAAGTCAGAAATCTTGGTGTCTCTCTAGAGTCAGACCTTAGTTTCATTAGTCATGTCAAAGCAATAACTAAATCAGCGTACTATCATCTGAAAAATATTGCAAGAATTAGATGCTTTGTTTCCAATCAAGACTTCGAGAAACTTGTGCATGCTTTCATCACCAGCAGGGTGGATTATTGTAATGGACTCCTCACTGGCCTTCCTAAAAAGACCATAAGACAGTTGCAGCTCATACAGAACGCTGCTGCCAGGATTCTGAGCAGAACCAGAAAATATGAACATATCACACCAGTCCTCAGGTCTTTACACTGGCTCCCAGTTACATTTAGGATTGATTTTAAAGTATTATTACTGGTATATAAATCATTCAATGGGCTAGGACCTCAATATATTGCAGATATGCTCACTGAATATAAACCTAACAGATCACTCAGATCATTAGGATCACATCAGCTAGAAATACCAAGGGTTCACTCTAAGCAAGGAGAGTCTGCTTTTAGCTATTATGCCAGCCGCAGCTGGAACCAGCTTCCAGAGGAGATCAGATGTGCTCCTACAGTAGTCACATTCAAATCCAGACTCAAAACACATCCGTTTAGTTATGCATTTACTGAATGAGCATTGTGCCACTGTTCGTCCGACTGTTTTTACTGTACTTTATTTTATTTTTTATTCTAAACTGTTTTAATTATTCTTATTTGTTTTGATTATTTTAATTTCTTCTATGTAAAGCACTTTGAATTACCATTGTGTATGAAATGTGCTATATAAATAAACTTGCCTTGCCTAAATAAATTGCTAAAATTAAACATTTTGTCCAAATTATTGTAGTTGGCAAATTACAGAATGACTCAAAGAAGGTTGGCCAGAAGCAATTTAGTTCCTAATTGATGTTGTCTCTCTAGTGACCCTGATAGACCCTTTTCACAGACTGCAATGAAGCGTTTTTTCCACAGTTATCACAATTCTAGTAAAGTTTTTTTTTTTCCAAATTTATATAAAATATAATATTATATAAAAAATGTAAATACAATTACAACGCTAGACTGTGTTTTATTACCTTGGTAGTAAATAACAAAACAGTAATTAATGCTGCTGTGAGGGTGTTTCTAATACAACAGCAGAGGGAGTGATGGCAAATTTCACATTATTCTCTCTTATGACTGCTGTAATCAATCTCTCGGACACAAATCAGTTCATTAAGAGAATCGGTTGCAAATGTTTTACTCTGAATCAGACTCGCTCACAATCCTTCAAACCGCTAATTCACAAGTGAGTTTGAGACCGTTTTTTTGAATCTTTTTGACTTGTGTATTAAAAGAACTTGTTCATAAGAGTAATTTGTTCATGAACCTCATATCATAACTATCCCCTCCTTATTGTCATTTCTCTCTCCTTCAGATCAAGCGCTCCTCAATAAGGAAGGGGATGGTCATGGTGTCACCAAGATTAAACCCACAGGCATACTGGGAGTTTGAGGCTGAAATACTAGTTTTACATCACCCGACGACCATCTCGCCTAGATATCAAGCCATGGGTGAGATACATGCACTTTTACGCTCTTGAATGTAAGTATGTGAGGTTTTCCTCTTACCATTTTTCTCGTACTTCCCTTCCCACAGTGCACTGTGGTAGCATCAGGCAGACAGCTACTATCCTGTCTATGACCAGTGACTGCTTGCGCACAGGAGACAAAGCTACCGTCCACTTCCGCTTCATTAAAACCCCAGAGTACCTGCACATAGACCAGAGGCTTGTCTTCAGAGAGGGAAGAACCAAAGCTGTGGGCACCATCACCAAGGTCAGATTCATGGGGCAAAAGATTGAGTGTGTAGGTCAGAACCGAATACATGCAAGTTTTTCAGTATTTTTAAAGACACAGCTAGTAGATGAGGATAAATTGGAAGTTGGCATTATTATCGTTCAGAATTATATTATAAACCTCACGTTTATGAGTGTTAATTTTCACTTTTGTTCTCTTGACTTGTAGTTGCTCCTGTCAACAAATAATCAGCCGTCAAACTCCAAACCTCCGCAAATCAAGATGCAGTCAACAAAGAAAGCCCCGGCTAGAAGAGAGGATGGAACGGCTCCACCCTGTGAGGAGACTGCTTGCACAGGATCGCCAGCCGCTCAGCAAAACATACCACAACAGGTAATAACAGAAATGCTGTGTTGTGCTCAGATTTACAAGTATTGTCAGTTTCTCTTCCTGCTCTGGTTTGTCGGATCTGTCCAGCTTTCTAATAGCTTTCTATCACTTTTTCCCTTTTGATACTCGTATGAATTATTTACCTTTCTTTACCTACATCATGCTGTTGCTTTTCTTCACCTGTTCTTCCATTTTCATCCCTCCTTATTTCCCATAAACTGCTCTGTTTCCTTTACCTTATTGTTTCACACTTATTACTGCTTCAGACAGAAATGGAGGAAGACCCTCAAAACAAAGAGAACAAGGTAAAACAAGGGAACCAAGTGACTCACTCATTCCCAAGACTGCTAATTATCCCCTCACAGGAACTGTGCTGTTTATAGGTTCTCAATGTACTGAAAGGACATTGCATGATGCATCTTTTAAGCCGGGATTGGACTACAGGAGTTTCATGCCAATTTACCCCTCCCGATAATCGAGGAAAAATGGGAGTAGGGCATCGGACGGTTCCGATGTTCGGCCCAGATTATCTGGTAATGTGAGGTGTTTACAGATCAAATCTTAAACCTCCCGATCTGCTCACGGACACATCAGGGCCGCCCAGACAATATCAACCATGCTTGATGTTTAGTATTTTAAATCGGGATGATTACATCAGTACTTCCACTATAGCCAGTGAGAGACAAGTCTACAAGGAGACAGAAGTGATGGAACTTTTAAAATGGTGACCGTGAAACAACAAGAAGCTGTACGAGTCCGGTGAACAGAGATGGAGGAACGGCTGGTCGAAATGTGGCAACAACACGACTGCCTTTTATAATGTCTCACCTTATATAATGTCTACAGCAAGTTGCTGTGACACAGTGTCCATTTATTTTACATCCGCTTCCCCGTGAGACCATGCGAGGTGCTAAATCTGGCATGATATGTAGTGTGTGACTGGCACTTGTAGTGTGTGAAGGTTTGAGATTTGAAAGAAGAAAATCTGTGAAGATTTTCCTTATTTGTGTGATGCAATGCAACCAGATTTCACTGAATCGGTTATGATTTAAAAACTCCTGTAGTCTGAGCCCGGCTTTACCCAAATTATACTGTGGCATGGAAATGAGCGAGGCTTGTGACCACCTGATTTCATTTCGAGAAGGTGTTGTTTAATACTTGCTGGTTTGTGAGTCCATAGTGTTACTGTTTATTTAGGAACAACTTGCTAGTATTTTGGGTGATGGTTATCATTTTTGGGGGGGTGATTGTATGATCTGTTTAGTTGACAATGACAGATGGACAAATATTTGGAATTTTGTTGAAATTTGAATCATAGACATTTACCAATTTTTTTTGTGGCAAATTTTATAATTTTGAATCCAAATTCTTCATGCGACATGTTTTCCGTTTTTTTTTGAGATACGACATTAAATGCTCCGATCATAAAATTACAGCTTCAAGGTTTTTTTTAATCTGAATGATTTTTTTATGTATTTCTAAATTCCATCTTTAAATGACACGTCTAGAATTCAAATTGACAAAATTCAAATGTTTGTCATATTTTTTTTTTAGTTCCATTGAAAATAGAAACGTTTTCAGTTGCGTTTGCAAATCAAATACTGATTAATACTAATGAGCCACGTACTTATTGTGTAATCATTTTGTGGAGTTGTGTATTATTATTACGATTATATGCTTTATACTTTTAGATATTATACCAAGTATGTATAAAACAAGTGATATAAAGTGTTACCAAAAATGTTAGTTACCATATCAGGATCAAGTGTAAAGTTTAGAGGTCAACAATCATCTTAAAACCTCCTTCCTCTTTTTTTTTTTCTTCTTGAAGCCAAAGTCTGGAGGCAGAAGACGAGGAGGTCAGCGGCATAAAGGCAAACCTCAAAACAACTCCACAGTGACCCTTGCTGGTGCAGTCGGGGGCTGTTAAACTCGCCCCTTTTCAAGAGTCCAGTACACCCTCCATGTTTTACTCATGCCTTTTACCTGCCCACATGGACCATAACACTTCGATGACAAAGCTTAAGGAGTTCACAGAACCAACATGCACCTTGTTTCGTGAATTTTAACTTATTATAAGATGTGCGTGTGTTCGTAGACTGTATATACCGTAGATATTGAGACTATAGGACAGGCATTACTGCATGGTGGTTCTGTTTTGGCTGTAAATGTCAACTTAAGAAGGATAAACTTTTAGTCTGTTTCTTCTTGCTGAACATGACATCATGTACTTGCTCAATGAGTCATTTCTATCCCGTTTTTAAGATAATCCCATTAGAAATTAACTCTTCATTATGTAGCAAACTGTTTTAATGGGACTATTAACAAGCCTCGTCACAAAACCACATTTAATTTGAATTCGCATTATTGTGGACCATAACGATAAGAGATGCTTTTGGAAAGTGTTTTGAGCTGAATTCACTGGCGGCTTTGAGACACCGTGACTGCAAAGTTTTTTGGCAGCTAGTTAAGTGTGAAATGCAAATTGGCATTTAAACACACTTCAAAATCTAATAACAGTCATTGCTAATTATTACCTCATATTTCAGTCTATTCAGTTTCCCAAATCCTTGGTCACCCTAGTGTTATCAGGCCTCATAGACTCTGCTCAGGTTCTGGGAGCATATTCAAATTGTGAAATAAGATATTTTTTAGGTTACCCAGTGAAATATATGCAGAGTAAGGGATGAGGAATAGAATGTAGATCTTTAGTTTAAAAGATTTGTGTAATAGTTCCTCGTGGGGAAACTTTACAAAACAGTGGCAGTTGTTCTTGGATAAGAAAAAAAAAAAAGTTTTATTAATGAACCTGTTTTTTTTTCCAGCTGTGATTGACAGGCCTCCTGAACACTTGCTGTAAATTCTTTCAGATTGCTATACTGTTTGCTGAGCTTTAGTATTCACACCCTTGAGGCAATATGACACCTGGACCATTCTCTGCGTTTACTTGTGAAACTTTCCACAACCAATATACAAATAAACTGATGTTGACAATTTAAGCAGGGTGTGATTCTTTGCTACTTTGTCTCAGAGTTTATCTATCTAGTCCAGGGACCCCTCTTATGCATCATTATTGATGTTTAAAAAAAAAAAAAAAAAACTTATTGATGTGTAGCATTTCAACTCAACAATGAAACATTTAGCTGAACTTTAAATAACTTTTTTTTGAAGTCAGCATTATTCATTTTCTAAATGCATTACTTTTATTTCTAGAACCTTAACCTAGTAACTTTTAACAAGTAATCATAACTCGATCTTCTTGTGAAATGACTGACTTCTATCTGGTGAACTTCTCCAATCATTTAATCCGCTTAAACCTCGTCCCTTTTTACAATCACCTGCAAGCTCATGTTCAGATCTGCCTTAATCCAATCAAACATTCAATGGATTGAACCAAGTCCCTGCCCTGCATCTTTTCTTTTCAAGACAAAGTAAATGATTGAAAACCATTAAAGCAAGTATATGCTGAACAAATAAAAGACAAGAATTCTTACAGATATAGATTTTTATTTACGTACACATTATCGGCTATCGTGGATACGATCTACAGCCCTGCGAATTGGTCATGCTAAGCCAATACAGACTAGTGTTTGGTTCAAAACAAACTTTTTTTTTTAACCAATTACAAGAACTACAAAATGGACCCTTTTCCTTTAACTTACTGTATCATGTAATTGTACTGCTGTAGGCTCTTCTGTCATTCTGGCAGGATCAGAGTGGTCCATTCTGACTCGATCTAGACTAATGCAGCACTAGACTTCACCAATTCTACATCTCAAAAAAGGTAAATACCACTTTCTCTTCATACTTTACATCTAAATATCTTGGTATTTCTTATAAACCATGTAATTTGATTTTACAGATGTGGGGTGGTAACCAAAGTTATTTTGGAAACCATCTTTCTTGATTTGACAATCCTCTGAAGATTGTTTGACATTGCTAAGCGTAATTATGAAAAGGTTTGGCTAAATGTGGTTTAATTTCTGATTGTACATTCCCAATATACACAAATGTGAAACGTGATCATTCAGACACTGATTTAGCTCTTCAAAACAATCCTTCAAGAGCCAAAATCCATTTATGAGTCATAACCACCATAATTGTGCCCCAAATGGTGCAATATTTATTTTGCTTCGGAGGATATGAAGTGCTTGCAGGCAGACCACACTGGCCCTTTCTGTTGTTTGATTCTGTGTGAACTCTTGGCAAAGGACTCCTCCTTTGAACAGACAGACTCTTAAAAAAAAAAGAGACAAAAAGTGAAACTATTGTGCCAAGACACAAACACTCACCATTTCAGCCATGTGACATAAAGCTGTACATGAAATGAACATGAATTTCACATGTAACCCCTGTTTTTCTGCAGATGGAGAGTGATTTGTCCTATGTTTGCAGCTCATGGGATGTGTGTGATGTTTTAGCCATCGATGTCCCAGCTGAAGAGGTGATGTTTCACCAACATGTCCTGAACTCCCTCCTTCAAAGGCCTCTGCTCCTTCTCCTGGAAAAAGAGTGGGGTAAAGTGAGCCGTTTGGTAATGTGTCTTCGCAATTGCATTGCACTGATTAAACAGCTCTCTGTAGTCTTAAATGGCTGAATTAATTAAAAACAAATGGCTGCTCTCAGCATTCCCACTGATTTTCAAGACTATCTTGCTGTAATTAAACATGGCACTCTATCAGTGCTTGAGAGCTTGAGTCAAGAAGGTCACTGGTGACATGAGAATCACGGTGAACTAACAACCACTCAGCTAAAGGACAGAGCGGAAATTCCTCTACGAGCTAACAAGCTTTTAAGTAAATTCTGAACTCCAGGTAATGCCTCTCACTGATACTTACAGACAACCATTAGCATCAAGCCTACTTCTAGACTGAAGAGAGGATTTTCACGAGCATGTATACTTAATAATGACAATATCATCCTGTGCAACACATGTCAATTCTGACATTGAATTATGTCAGAACACCCAGACAATCCACCCTTAAAGCCTGTTCACACAAAGTTGAATGTCTGCATGAAGTTTGAAATACATGCATACATTCATATTTCAAGTGGATTTTTCAATTGTTCAGATGCAAAAATAAATAAATATATTCAGCCAATGAGTTTGCATTTATCATGTTATAATATGATATGTTATACATTAGTACCGTTCAAAATTTTGGGATCAGTACGATTTAAAAACGATTTTTAAAGGACATTAATTGATCAAACGTGACAGTAAAGACATTTGTAATGTAAGAAAAGATTTATATTTCAAATAAATGCTGTCTTTTTGAACTTTTTATTCATCAAAAAACCATGAAAAAAATGTATCACTGTTTGTCACAAAAAATTGTAATCACATTTTCAACTGATTAGAATCAGAAATGTTTCTCGAGCATCAAATCATCATATTAGAATGATTTCTGAAGGATCATGTGACACTGAAGACTGGAGTAATGATGCTGAAAATTCAGCTTTGACATCACTGGAATAAATTACATTTTTAAATAGACTAAAACAGTTATTTTAATTGTAATAGTTTCATAACTTTACTATTTTTGATCAAATAAATGCAGCCTTGGTGAGAGACCAAAGACAAATTCTTTAAATTCCCTTTCATTTAGATTGAGCACTGGCAAAAACCGATGAAACGATTAAATAAACCAGCATTAGATTCATTGTGAATAGTTCTGGTGCTAGATGTTTGCTGTTTAGCTGCATATGACTTGGTGTGAGCAGGCTTTATCTTGACCAGCACACTGGGATACAGGGGTCTGTCTGAAATGAAATGTAGTGAAGAGAGTGATATTTGCTTTAGAGTTTAATTAGCATTCAACACAAAAGCGGCTAAACTGGTTTTTAGAGGTTTAGTTCACATTATCTGGAGCCACAATGTAAACAGCAGTGAACAGGAGAGCAGGACACACCAAGCGCTACAGCTACTAAGCTGCTACTACTACCACCACTTCTTGCTCTGGCAGCTAGTTATCAAGCAGCAGGCTAGTAACTAGTTGCCAGCATTACCTAGAGGTCCCAACTAAAGAGGTGATGTTGGACCAAGACATCCACCACTTCTGATTTGAGAACGGGAGTCTTCTGGAATGGCAGACAAACACGCAAACACGTTACCCTGGGTGTCTTTTAGGGGTGTTGAAATTAATCTTTACTAAGATGCATCGCAAGGTAGATGCAGTAATAGACCGTTTATAACCGTTATAGCCTACTGACATTTCTCTGACGTCATTCGTCGCATATGCACTTGCTAGAGTAAAATGGCGGAGGGAGGTGAAAAACAAAAGCGAGTAATAAAAAATTCACCCACTATTTTAACATTTACAGTGTGTGAGCGTGTGCATGCGTGCAAGTAGTGTGTGTGTGCAATCGTGTGTGCAGCCTGTGTGTGTGCGTTAACTTAAGTACACTACTTGACAGTTTCATGTGCTTTTAATATTTACTAATATTTACGGTTTATTAGTTCTAAATGCTGCTGTGTTCAGACTTAAAGGGATACTTCACCCAAAAATGAAAATTCTGTCATCATTTCCTCACCCTCAAATTGTTTCAAATCTGTATGAATTTCTATGTTATGTGGAACATAAAAGACGATTTTGAAGAATGTTTGTAACCCAAGCAGTTGTGGGACACCATTGACTTCCATAATATTTTTTTCCATACTATGGAAGTCAATGCCTCCCCACAACTGTTTGGTTACCGACATTCTTCAAAATATCTTCCTTTGTGTTCAACAGAAGAAAGAAACTCCTACAGGTTTGGAACAACATGAGGGTGAGTAAATGATGACAGAATTTTCATTTTTGGGTGAACTATCCCTTTAAGTTTTGTTTGACTACAGGAAGTGTACTTTTAAAAAGGGAGTTCATATATCTTACTGCTTGTATTCATTGACGAAAATGCAGTAATATATTGCAACGCATCATGATGCATCGGGATATCGAATCAAATTGAACCGTTGACATGATAATCGTAATCGGATTGAATCGTGAGATCAGTGACGATTCACACCCATAGTGTGTCTGTGTGTGTGGAAGGACATGTGAGACATTGAGGGAATGTGAGTGAAGAAAGTGTTGATCTCGCACCTCTTTTTTGGTAGGCAGCTCACAGTCTTGGGAGAGACTGAAGGCAAACTTAGAGAGAACTCTGAAAGCAGCACATACAAACTCATGTCAGTAATATACTCAAAATAACAGTTATGGCAGTCATTTCTAATACACAGACAAGCTTTAAACACTTCTTGACCAATTCATTTTAATGACCCTTCCAGTTATGATTACAGATCATTCGACAATGAATCTTTTCAAACCAATTTGTGAAAGATTTCCTCAAATTAAACAAATTAATTACTATGGCTTATGAGAAAATGTAATGTTTAATTAAAATAATAATAATTTAGAGACGAAATAAAAATGTAGAGTAACAAGATAATTAATTTGTACATTTTAAAATGTTATTTCTATGACTAGTCTTGAGAATTAAATAAAAACTACATTAACACATTTTTAAATTTCTAATTTAAATTTTGTTTCAGTTTCCTCGTTGTTTGAATGGTTTGTAACCTCAATTTCAGCCCATCAACAGAGGCTCTCAGAGAGTCTTACCTGAGTTCACACTTTATCTGAACCCAGCCAGGACTGCGCAGGAAAGACCAGGGATGGTACCATTTCTCCACGGCACTCATACTGGAACACAACACCTCCAGCCACAGGTGCAGCACCTGCTCACTGACACAACACACACACACACAGATGAAGAGAGTATATGCTGCACGCTTGCATTATGGGAAAAGAAACGAAAAGTAAAGAGATACTAAAACAGCAGGGGGACTTACTTTAAGCCCACACAGATGAGCGAGCGGAACTTGACGTCCATCTGAACATGTGCAGTGTCATGGCTCATGTTGACAGACTGCACTGCCTAAGATGACAGGCAGAGAGCGCTCAATGCACAAGCAAATAAACAGTACTCAACTGCTGATCACTGACAAGATTTCTATTGTAAAACTCACCCTGTACAGTAGCTCTTCAGGTGTGAGCACCTTCCCATCTTCATCTAACCTAAAGAGACAAGGATCCGACCGGCTATCACATCAACAAAGTACTTTTATGAGAATTTAAAGAAGGTTAGATCTTATGTTATTACCTGTAGGTCTTGCACAGCACCAGTCTGGAGTAGACAGAGTTGAAATCTCTCTCCACTTCTCTGCTGGCTGCCTGTAATCAACACACAACCACAACTCTTTCACTCACTACTGGCATATATGCATCTATACTGTATATTTATATAGGTAGCACAACCTGTTACTAAAGCACTATAAAAAAGGAGAGTAACAGGGCGGTCACACTACACTTTTCGTTGCATTGACTTCCATTCATATGCATGCGAATGCGTCAGACCACAAACACAAACAAATGCTGGTGAATGCCTTTCACCAACATTTGGTGTTTGGTGAACTCTGACCTGCGAATTCATCACATGAAGACATGTGACCAGTAGAAGATAGATATGTCACGGCGTGAGATATTTTTGCAGTTAAGTCAATGAGATTGTATATTTTTTACATCTTGATTGTATTACTATTTGTTATATGTTGAATTCATGTTTATAAAATAAGACTGCAGAGTGTGACGTTATATCAGGTGCCCAAGGAAATTTTGCATGCTCAAAGACTAGTGTGACTGCGGCTTAAGACAACATTTCATGTACCTCCTCAATGAAGAGCCATGGGTGACAGGGTCCCCCAAGTATGGAGGGCTTCTTCAGGCCGTGCTGAAAGATGGCCTTGAGAGCAGGACACAACGAGCCTCTGACCAAGTCATTGACTGCCTCAGTTACGGTGTCATCTCCAGCCAGAGAGTACTGAACAACAACACAGATGTGCATGAGAAAATAAACCTCTTAACCCATTATCTGAAGCAAAGACATTCTTTATTAATAATCACCTCTTTACTTCGTTCATCCAAGACTTCCACAAATTTTGCAGGAAACCAGCCTAAAAAGACAAAATGGTTGTGGGAAATACTAATTGACTTCTAAGTGTAGTTAGGATCATATCAGAAAATCTGATTTAAAGTAGAGATGCACCGATACCATTTTTTCAGAACCGATTCCAAAAATTCTGAGTATCGACCCGACCGATACCAGGTAGATTTTTTTTTAAAATCAGGTAGAATTTCTATAACTCTGTGTTTAACCGATAATCACTCTTTTGTGTGTTAAACAATCTACTAAATACAGACAACTAAATAAAGAAAAACAACAAATCAAAAAAATATATGATCATAATCTATGACAAAAATGCCATTATAAACTAGATTAGTGGATAATTCAGCAGTAAAAGTTACTCTAGAAAATCACGAGTGCACAATAATTGTATAAAATCTGAACATTTAGTGAAAAAAAACATTATTTAGAGGAGAACAAATGAGAGACAATAAGTATAGCCCTAAATCCGGTAAAACGTTACACATTGCTCTTTGTATTGTTGTAAAATACAATAGTAGGCCTATATATATTATAAAATGAAGACATCTTTTAAATCTATAGTGGAGCAGTTTAATGAGGCAGCAACATATGATAGATAGCGCAGAACAAGAAAGGCTATTAATAATCTTTCATTGCACAAAAGTATTATAATATGAAAGGCTCCAATTGAGTGCGGCACAAAGCGCTTCTGCGCATCCCGAGCGCAGAATGATGCTCTTGAAGCAACATGGAGTCACAGCACTTCGAGTCCGCATTGAAAAGTTCAAACACAAAGGAAAGACATATTTATTGATGTGTAGTGTATTATACACTATCTATCTATGCAATAGTTTATTGAGCCTTATTAAATTTAACAGTTTTAAATTTCAGTTACTGTGGAGTAGAGAGCACTATAATTGTTCTTCACACGCAGTGTTGTGATCTAACAGACACCCGGTAGAAAGTAACGTGATTAAAGGTCCCCTGACATGAAATTTTCACTTTCTGAGGGTTTTTAACAATAATATTAGTTCCCCTAGCCTGTATTTGGTCCCCTCGTGTCTAGAATTTTCAATCGGTGTAAACCGAGCTTTGGCTATTTTTCTCTTCTCTGCAGCTCAGACGCACTGATCTTGAATCTCCTCCTTATGACGTCATAAGGAGGAAAGGTTACCTCCCCTTTCTCTGCTTTGCCCGCCTGGAGAATTTGGCTCGCCCAGGAGAAAACGAGCTAGGAACAGGAAGTACGAACGCGCCGGCGCGATTTTAGTTTTTCCTAGAGAAATAGCTTTGAGTTGTTAATTTTATTTTCTCTGGAAATGCGCCGAGACAACTTCCCAAAGTTTTGTATGGTCCAAACATTTCACCGACGACTGTTTCCTCAACTCGATGAACGTCTGAAAATAAATCGATCGAGCTACCAAGAAACAATTTCTGATGTGTAGCCTAATTGTTCAAGTTCAGACAGGTAAGTTAATCTTTCTCTCAAAATCGTTCAATACTGTTTATGCATCATTAAGTCAAGCCAGTGACTAAAATATCAACTTCACATCATTTCTTTTAGTAGGATGAAAATAATCTTATTTAAATTGAAATTGAAACAACGAAGCTCTTACTGTATGTACATCATCGTGTTTGCATTGGTGAAAGGATTAGAGAGAGTGCAGAAACTGCGTTGCAATGATAAGATCTTCATTCTCGCGATCAACAGACCGTCATCTGCTTGCTCAATGCTCATCATGGCAACATTTTATGTGATGGGAATAGATCTAAATACTTTAGAAACTTCTCTCGATTCGTTAATCTCGATAGCTGTAGTAGTAAAAACGTATAATAGCTGTAGTAAAAGTATTCGAGAGAGTTTCACATGTAATACGTAGCTATTTCATATGCAAGCATGTCAGCCAATCACAGCAGTGGCTGGCAACACTGAATCCCACAGCAGACACGCCCCTTCAAACACAGCGATCAAATCAGAGGCTAAAATCAGGCTAGGAAAAATGCCTTTTATTTCTAAATTATGACTATTTTTGATCTAAAAAACATACTAACATTATAAGGGCAACCCAGGAAACATTATAAAATAATAAAATAACCCCATGTCAGGGGACCTTTAAGGTACAGCAATACAGTCCAGCAAGATAAAGTTGTTTTGCGAAACCATTGACCTTTATTTACAGATCAAGTATAATAACATTGAATCACCTGAATCATGAAAAACATTGAATCAGCTGAATGGAGATTGACTGACCCCAGCGGAGGAAAGAGTTTACGTGAACTTGAATTTAACGACTTAAATATTCATTTCTTCCTCACATTATACTATAGAATGGCTTCAGAACACTTATAATATAGTGCACGAAAAGTAAACTTTATGGTGCTTTATAATGTTTTTGTGGGGCTTAACAATAACACAGAATAGTATACGCACAATATCGGATTTGGATCGGTCTTGTCTGATGTGTGTGTCGGCAGTGTGTGTACACAACCACCCTATAATGGTAAAAATCCACCCACTCTTTTTTTAATCGCCATAAATCATAAGCAGCGTCTCAGAACAAGCCGTTTGCAGTTTCTGTGCAATGTGACGTCACATATGCTTAGGCCCCGCCCACAATGGACTGATGACGGACTCTACCCTATTAGCATAGACCCCACCCTGAGTGAGCTGCAGTACACACAGTCCGCCATGTTTATCTCCTCGCCAAAGCATTTCACAGCAGCATTCAAGATAGATATGTATTCTTAAATTTCCTTTTGTTTTTTGATTCATATTAACAGCATATAGCAGTAGGTATTGTATATTACGCTGCTTTCACTTTAATACACAGATCTAATATACACATGCGATTTCTTTACTTGCTGTTCACGTTAACAGACATAAACGACAATGTTTATGTGAACTTTGTGTGTTTTTGACATAACCTTGCATGTAATTTGACATTTTAAGCGCGTGAAAGAGAACTTAGTTCAATACTCATGGGACGCGCCACCTGACAGCCAGCTTTCTATGAGCAGTGTACTTTCTACGAGTTCAGAAAACCATATATCAGAAGTTTAGACTGATATGGCTTTAAAACGCATGCAGATAATAAGCTTTCATGATGACGAAGAACTGCAATGTCACGTAAGCGTGACCGCGATAGAGATGATAATCAAAACCAAACAGATGTTTTCGTTTTTGGCAGAGTATCCGAGGCACAAGCTATGCAGGCTCCGCCCTCTTCTGGAAAGCAGGGAGGGGAGCAGCAGCTCATTTTCATTTAAAGATACAGGCATGAAAACAGCATGTTATTCCTTCCACTAAAAAAAAGGGGACACATACTGGGGACTTCTGAGACTTGTATAACATTGGTAAAAAGGGGCATAAGCTTATTGTAAGGTCATCTCAGCTCACCTCTCAGGCCGTTCAGCTCTCCCACCCAGCAGTGCTCGTCTTTCTGTGAGATGATCTAAGAATAAACAGAAATACACAGTTAAGGATGAAAGGTAAAGCATCCGTTAAAATGTTTAGATGACAGAAACAGCAGTTTCTTACTGTGATGATGTCATTCTTCCGAAAACCCAGTTCATCATCGTCATGCCTTTCAAAGTCCAGTAAGGCTTTGGCTCGTCTCCGACGATTCCGAGACACGACCAGGAAGTTCTCGTGATCCCTTTGATGACTCTCCATAGAATAGTCTGGAGTCAAATCCTAGAGAGAAAGAGACACACACAAGGAATGTACAAAACTAACGTTAACAAAAACATTTTATGAGCTCAAATAAAAAAATATTACAATTGTTATCATTAGTATAATTATTAATAAACAATGGTATAATCATAATAATAAATTATTAATGGCTACAAGTAAGATGGACAGAAAGAGAGGAATTCCGTATTATCAAATGAAATATCTGGCTTGATATCTGACTAAATAAATATAATTGATTAATAACTCGAGACTAGGGGTGTGTCGGTTTCAGAATAGGGGATTATCACGCTTCCGGGTTTCATGGGCGGGATTTGTCAACTTTGTGCATGTCCACTTCCGACGCAGTTCAACAATGGCTGAAACGAAGGCTAGATGTCACTGCTCTGTTCCACTTTGTAAATCTAACCAACAACGCTAACCCTACTTAAGTTCTCATGGATTCCCGACTGAATTGAGTATAAGGAAGAAGTGGATTAAAGCGGTTCGCCGGGATTAAGGTCCAAACTTTAAAATAAAACAAGGTACTGGTAGCACGTTTGTTTGTAGCCGGCACTTTAGTGAATCAGACTAATTTACCAGGGATGCCGTATAAATAAACTTAGTGTATTCCGTCATCAGTTCGCCAGAGTGATCGGTGATTCAACGGAAGTGGCAGTGCACATAGATCACTGAATGCGGAAGTACTACGTATCAGCGTGATAATCCCCTATTGGTGATGACGGTTATGACGTGAGTCAAATGTGACGGTTGCTTGCTCTACGTTTATTTTAAATTAACAGCAAGACAACTAGCAGTGAATGTGCTTTCCATTAAATGAATCACACACAGTAAACAAATCCTTAACAAAAAAAACAGGCCTTTCTTTGTCAGTGTCGGCTGCAAAGATGAAGTTGACGATGCTGACTCGCGATCTTCGCAGTAGTCAACGCGCCAGAGAGAAATGCACATTTCATACGGATTACATAAGCAGAGAGTAGTCTGTTTTTTTTTTCGGTTTGAATTGTTCTGTTTAAAAGTTGACATGTCTGTGAGGCAAGTAGGCTACCTTATATGCTGAGTTTCGGTTAATTTATGAGACGAGCTCCAGTTCACGCGCCGGCGCCTCCGTTTCGTGATTATCTATCGTCTGCTATATTTACTTATTATTTATTAAATCCAGGCAATTGGTTGATGAAACATTGATTAAAATGAAGATACAATTAATACAAAACGAAATTCACTTTAAAGAAAGGTTTTGTGCTTTCTGTTTGATGTCTCTGTGAACGTTTTACTCTGTGAGACGTGATTAAATGTCACGTCTTTTAGTGGCGCTTTCAGACCGGTCACATCCGTAACATAGTTTTTTCCTCATAAATGCGAACACGAAACAAAATAAAATGAATATTTTATGTTCTGTGGAGACTACTGTTACTCATAATTTGTATTCTGAATACGTAACGCCGGTACATGTATTCCGTTACTCCCCAACACTGATATTAGTACAACCTTATCTGCAAGATATTTTAATAACACTGTTTTGGCGGTTATAGAGTTCTAATGACGGTGTTCAACTATAACCGTCGGTCTCACGGTTATATAATAACCGTCACACCCCTACTCGAGACTCTCCATGACTCACAGTGGTCTGTTTACAGGGAATGCAAGTGTGCTGCTAATTTCTTGTTGCATAGGCCTAATTTATGCAATGCAACAAAACAACTCAGTGAGTCATCCGGTTGGCACAGTGCAATGAGTCACACAGTGTGGCTGTTTCAGTGCAAATGTTCCATTTCTAATTGATTTCTTCCTGGCAGATTTATAAATGTGATTCATTTGATTGAGTGGCTCTTACAGTGCTGCAGTTGTGGGGGTCCAGGCAGTGAAAGTGTTCTGCTGTGCGACTGATGGCTTCTCTCAGCGCTGCCACCAGCTCTGTCTGTTTAATGTTTTTGGCCTTTAGCGCCTCCACCTCGTCCTCGCCCCAGAGCAGCGAGCTCAAGGTGGATTTCCTGTGCAGGCTTTGTCTACGGACCACCTGCACAATGATGACAATTATGAGCGAGCCTTTGATCACATTTAGTATATTGTTATTGGGGTGTGTTAAAATGTGTGCATCACAGATGATGGTTAAAGATGCTTTTCATGATCTCACCTTGTTGAGGTTGGTGTGGAGAGAATGGGAGTTGTTGGAGTTGAGCTGGGCCTGCTCTGCCAGGATGTAGGCCAAATGCTTGTGTCTGTGTGTATCTAGGTTATCCTGAGACAGAGATCCTGCCAGACGCACAGCCTCTCCCAGCACTGTGGCCCCGTCCTCTAGTTGACTGGGCAGATCTGACAGCGTGTTGAAGATGGATGCAGAGTTCTCAGACGATACCAGCTCTTCCTCCTTTAAAACACAGAAAGAAACTATTATTATTGACTGTGTCAAATCAAACACTCATGATTGCCCTGTTTAACATATGAAGGCTTAGTAATTAGAATATTGTATGAAAAAACAAACAAAAACAACAACAAAGCAAAACACCCAAAAACATGTGCTACCTTGATCTTCAGCATGCCCAGTGTAACCTGGAAGAGCACCACTGAGCTCTCGTAGAAGAGCAGGTCCCAGATTCGCAGCAGGATGCGTATGTCCACCACACTGGCAAATGCAGTGAGGAACCAGTGTAGAGTGATTAAAGACAGTTCTGAGAGGGAAAACAAACAATATAAGTTTTTTTTTTTAATTCGGCATATGTTTAGGAGGAATACATCTTTGTAACTCTACAAAATGTATAAAAAACCAGCAACATTTATGAAATACTTTTTGCAAAAGTTTTTAAAATCAAAATTAAGACAAATACAATTAATACCATATGTCCCTACAGAACAAATCCATAAAATGTTACATTCAATTGCAAAACAGGGTAACTGCAAGTTTAAAATACTTAAGACTAGTTTTATTTATTTAATATACACATAAGTATTAAAAATGGTTTATGTACTACCGTAATATATCAATACATACAAATTATAGGATGACTGATATAGGATTTTGCTGATATGATAATGTGTGTAAAGAAAGGTAATACAAGGATTATTGTGCCGATGCTCATAAAAATATATAATATAAACTGAATGTGTTAATGTTCTTAGACTTTCATTCCTGTGACGGGCAACTAGAGAGAAGCCACAATGAGTTTATGTTGAATTAAATGCTAAACACAGCTTATCTGTAATTAGACTACAACTAATATACAGAGAAAAAAAAAGATTATGCATAATGTGGTACTTTTCATTATAGACAAGCTCAAAATACACTGGGACTCTTATTTTAAAATGTCTATGCTGCTCATTCAAAAAGTGATAAGGGGGCTAATAAATATGCACTTCTACAAACATCTACAAGATAAAAACAAAAAGTAAACATTGCCATAATTCATCAACAGTAAATCATAGGCAGTCACTTGGGATAACTGCACAGGATTCATTGATTGCAAACCGCTGAAACCGAGAGCCTGTAGAGCGTGCAGCGTTTTGACTTTGAACGTGTAGCTCTCGCATTAATTCCATTTAAATAATCGCCTTTTGAAGTTTAATAATCAATGGCTGTATCGCAATTCTTGCTTTTTCTGTCCTCAAATTTAAGATCTCTTAAATGTGCAGTAAATGATTTCTGAGAAACGCTGTTGAAAAATGAAATCAACTATTTTATATGTGCTAGATCTCTGCTCTGGGTGTGTGCTGAAAAAAATGTGTTTGTACAAAGTCCAGGCTGTGTAAATAGTTGAAAAAACAAAGTGGATCGGACCGATCCACTGAACACCAGGAGCAACACTCATGATAGGGGAGGAGAGAGAAGGGAGATTTGTAGAAAGACTGTATAAAGAAAGATGGCTGAGATATTACCAAAGAGATGATGGTCAGGAATATTATTGGAAAGAATGGTTACGATCAGGCAAGAACTATGTCCCGCATTAATATTGGAAAAGCTTTCTTGCACTGGAGAGACGTTAAGGAGCGGGAAGGCCTGAAAACAGACACAGAGGTTGCTTTGTTTCTGCTGTTTCACAAAACTAAGATATGCTGTTGTTGTAGAATCACAGCTGTCTGATGCGGCTGCTGTTTGTGGTTGCCTGTGTTGCGTTGTGTGAAGGGAGGGGTGTGTTTGTTTGGGTGTCGATTTCAAATATCAACTGTATTTTTCAGAAATCACTTAAAAATGATTAAGATATATAATACTTGTTGGCCTGGTTTCACAGACAGGGCTTAGATTAACCCAGGACTAGGCCTTAGTTCAATTAGGACATCTAAATTAATAGTTTTTATAAACATGCCTTAGAAAAAAACCTAACTGGTGTGCATCTTGAGACAAACCTTGGCACAGATATATTTCAGTGCATGTTGCTTTCAGTTAAAAACAGCTCAAACATGCATTTTAGTCTGGGACTAGGCTTAAGCCTTGTCTGTGAAACCAGGGGGTTATAACCTTAAATTTGATCAAACTGAATTAAAGACGTAAATGTGAGGCTGTGTGTGTCTCACCAATGTCATGCTCCTGTAGCAGCTGATCCAGGCGAGGCAGATACTGCACTATGAGCTGTCTGAGCACACGCTGGTCAGTTTGAACACCCAACAGAGTGGAAGAGAAGTATGCGGGAGGCAGCATGTCCTCTATCAGAGCACACATCATCCACAGAGCATCTTCCTCCTCCAGAAACAACAGAAGGCAGGACACCACCTGCATCAAAGACAAACACAAATGCCACAGAGTCTGACACCCGATGACCCAAACGTTAGAACGCAGAGAGACAAAGAGTCTGTGTTAAGGTTGCTCCTCACCATGCCTGTGCCCTGACAGTAGCCGATGTCGGGATACAGCCACGCAAGCCCTCTCAGGACCCGCCTGAGCTTGGGCACCCCCACACTCGTCAAAGTGTTGAAGCATGCATTAGTGGGCATGGTCCGCAAAAGATCCTTTTCTATCTGCAGCAGAGACAGAGAGAGAACCTTAATACAGGAAATATTGGAAGATGGCAATAAATTAATCAAACTAATCATGAATAAAATGCATATTGATGTAAGCTGAAACAAACCACTTGTGGCAGACAGGTCAAATTAAAAGTAGTTTTTTTTAAGCAAACATAGAACATGTTTTTCCAATAAGCTTTTTACATAACTTCTAAGTGCTAATATTACAGGCTCCTGTTTTTTGTCGTTTGATTGCATCAGCTAAATAAATAAATGTTTAGACTGTTTTCTTTTAGAGCTGCTGTACAGACGAAATGAACTGTTTGCATCATTGAATCATTTTCCTGTTATCACTGTAAAGCTGCTTTGAAACAATCTGTATTGTATAAAGCGCTATAAAAAATAAAGGTGAAATGTAAATGACATACACTACCATTCAAAAGTTTGGGGTGTGTATGATTTTTTGTTTCTAAAGTCTCTCATGCTCATCAATGCTGCATTTATTTGATCAAAAATCAGTAAAAACAGTGATGTTGTGAAATATTATTACAATTTAAAATAAAAGTTTCTATTGTAATATACTTTTTTTTTTACTTTATTCCTGTGATGACGAAGCTGAAATTTCAGCATCTTTATTCCAGTCTTCAGTGTCACATGATCCTTCAGAAATAATTATAATATGCTGATTTGGGTTTTTTAATTATGACCAATATTTCAATATTTTGCTTAATATTTCTGTTGAAACTGTGATACATTTTTGGGGGGATTCTTTGATAAATAGAAAGTTCAAAAGAACAACATTTATTTGAAACCGACATCTCCACTTCAAATAAATCTCAGATCTATGGCAGAGATGACAAGTACCTGCTTGGCTGCTGTAGTGTCATTATTAGAGCTGTTTTTGACGATTTCCCTGTAGGAAATTTCTGATGTTCGCTTTTTCTGCAGGGCCCCTGATAAACGCATCCACAACTAAAGAAATGCATAAAAGAGACAATGGAGTACGAGACCGATAAACACACAAAGATCCAGCAGAGATGCGTCTGGAAGATCATAGATTCGAGACGCACCGCTGTTCTCATGGGAATCTCTAAAAATAAGCATAAACAAGATATTACCAAGACATCATGTCCTATTTCAGTGAGATTACGTGAGATTCAGTGAGAATCCCTCAAGCATGAACACGGTTACCATGGGAACATTACATCAGCAGATTAGTCGCCTGATGTTGTGTAACAATACAAAGACATCTTTAAATATGTTGTGAGGTTTAAACACACACAGAAGCACATTCAGAGGTCGATGAACAAAGGCTCTCAGTGCTGACCTGTGGTCTCATGCTGTGCGGTATGCCCCCCAGCACAAGGGACCGAAGGCGGTCTGAGCGGGCCAGTGTGGGGGAGATCTTGTCCCATGTCAGGTCTCCTACGGTGTTATTGTGGGTGAACTCCAGATGGGCTTGCCAGCGAAGTCTTTGCTGAGGGTCTTCTCTCTGAGGAGCTCCCTCACCACGCAGCCATTTTCGTGGCTCAACACCGTCTGAAACACACACACACACACACACACACACACACACACACACACACAAAACACTTTAAAACTTGTCAAAGAGGAGAAAAGACAGTACCAGATGAGACATGATCTTTAAGAGGGCTTGACATTAAGCTTTTCCTTTTTACTCATCTTTTTAAACCTGACCACTTAGTTTTCCAAGTCACCTAACCCAAAAACACTTCTACAACAAAACTTTAACATATTAAATTATTGGCAATAATTATACAGTGTTATTTAATACATATTATATGCTTGAACATTCAAAAGTTTGGGGCTGGTAAGTCTCTTATGCTCACCAAAGCATTTATAAGATAAAAATACAGTAAAAAACTAATATTGTGAAATATTACTACAATTTAAAAGAACTGTTTTCTATTTGAATATTTTAAAATGTCATTTATTCTTGTGATGACAAAGCTGAATTTCCAGCATCATTACTCCAGTCTTCACTGTCACATGATCCTTCAGTAATCATTCTAATAGGATGATTTGATGCTCAAGAAACATTTATTATTATGATCAAGGTTGAAAACAGTTGTGCTGCTTAATATTTATTACAAATATTTTATAGGAATCTTTGATGAAAAGAAAGTTCAAAAGAATAGTGTTTATTTGAAATATAAATCTTTTGTAACATTATAAATGACACTTTTGATCAACATCATGCATCATGCATTGCTGAGTAAAAGTTATAATTTCTTAAATTATTATTTTTTTTTTTAAAAGAACACTTACTGACCCCAAACCTTTGATTGGTGATATATATACACTATACAGTAGTATTAAAAACCTCTGAGGCGGTGCAGAATAATGGATTATGCAAACTTAGTGAATAAACGTAGATTTAGCTGTTTTTCTGTTGTAGTCCTATGTCCTAGACAAGTGTTAAGGTTGAGCCCTATTTAACTTTTTATTAGTGCTGATGTTCTCACACCAACCTTCACTATCAATCCGGAACCCAAATTCATCATAATGCAGTTCTGCTTCCATACTGGGGTCTTTCTGCAATAATCAGAATGATGTCTGTGAGAAATGAACCATCTCCCATGACAATGAAGATGTTACAATAATAAAAAACACCATTTATCTGGCACTTAAGTATCAATGCAATATTATAAAACATGCCCTTTAAGAATAAAAAGAAAGAAATGCAAGTAAACTACCTGACAGTACTTTGCCAGGATGTCCTGGGGCCACATGCTGGGTGTGAGGGCCGCAAAAGGCCCCCCTGGGGCTGGAGAGTAACTACCTGCTAAACAGAAAACTTTATGAGGAGATTTACTGTGTTTGACAATACACAAATACAACCATGCTCACAATTTAAATTTTGTGTATTCATACAGTAGCTTACTTGACATGGTGTTTTTTTTTAGTGTCTAAAGAGAAGAGTCCGATGATAGCAGGTCAGGTTGAGGTTCACAGGCCCTAGATAAGGAAGACCAACACATACCAAATGTGAAAAAACCTTCCCATAAGATAAAGTAAATCCATTAACACACATAGAGAGCGTCATGAAGAGATCAATGCAATTCACAGCCTGTGGAAATAATCACATCAAAATATGTGCTTAAAGGAGCCAACAAAGCAGAATATCATATAACATCACTTTAGTGCAATTCAATAAGGAAAAAAAAGAAGTACGCTATGAGGAAGTGAAGTGTCTGAAAGCTTTTTTAAAGCTAAACTTGAGCTGAAGGACGGTATACGGTGTCCTCCTTTATGCTCCACTTCTCGAAGTCAACGCAGACAAACGGGACATTGAGCTAAATCTTCAGCAGCACAGCATGTTCAGATACAGTAATCATGCCAGTGAGAAGCCCATAGACAACACAATACCTTACATGACTTCTCTCTCCGTAACACTGACATCAACCGGGTGTAGGCTACAACCTAGTGTGATGAAAATGGTTTATGTAATGGCCTCAGAAGTGGTCAAAGGGGATTTCAACATGGAATGTGCAGAAAATGCAGACTAAGGATGCTCAGGTCAAAGACCATGTAGACTTACCCAAAAAGTGCTTAACACAGTAGAACTAACAGTCATATATTTAGCTTAGATAATTACAAACCAATCACATTGAAGAAGACTTGAGGAACATTGATTTTTTGTCAACTGTAAGATATAGATGTACATGTATCTTTCTGTTCAGAGAATCTCTCTAGGTTGTTGTAACCAGTGAGCTCCAACTTTTATTCCTGCAAAGAGCAACTTGGGAGTCGTGTCTGGTAATAGTGTCCGATATTAAACAGAGTTCGACTTCCATGTCTTTTTGCACTTGAATAGACAAATACACACAAAAATATGTCAAAATTAGTGTAAACAGTCGGTTATGTCTTCAGTGAACGAAAACAGTTGACAAAGAAAGCACATAACAGTATATTTGATCTGTGCAGCTCCTAAAGTGACAGCAGCATAAGATTCCTGCTGCCATCTCTAACAAATCACACAACAAACGGCTGTCGCTGTTGTTGACTGAATAACTTTTGTAACTATATTTGTAATGTATATTTTATTTATAAAGTGCAGTGTTATTTTACATTTGATTAGTTTCTGAACCCAAACATCTTTTTTTCAATCGTATCTTTGTTCAGTTGTGTTTATTTATGTGATTGCTAATTTGTTTATTTGTTATTTCTTTAATTATTGAGTGTTTGTGCAAAACTTCTTTTTAAAACAGTCAACCACACAGCACATTTCATGATCCCACCCTGCAAAAACTCATTTCCGGGAGATGGCACATCTTAATATCAGGCTCTCTTGATTTCCGGGATATTGTATATAATTTGCGGGCGTCAGGGAGCCGCTATCAAAATATGCAGGAGACTCCCAGGCCTTCCGGGAGAGCTGGGATGTCTGGGTATGGTTATTTCTGTGTTACAAACATTCATATCATCACAGAAGAACTGTGATAAAAGTTTATAGTTTGGATATAAACACTGATGTTTATGGAAGTGATCAAAATAGAGTAAATCACCTTTTGAAAGTAAATTTGCACTTTAGATAACGATTTTTATAACTACATCGTTACGCCACCTGGTGACTGTTAATTTTTTTTTATTTGTCACTGAATCCTTCATTCAAGAGTTGTTCAACACTGATTTATCCAGTAATGAAACACGGTACGTAGCCTATTTAAGAGCAAGTCATTGAATCAATCACTTCTTTCAATCATTCACACCGTCACCATACTTCGGGAGGGGAATTGCCTTGAAGTATTATATTGTATGTATTCGGGATGAGAATTGCCCCGGTATACCGTAGTATTATATTCGGGATGGGACTTACCCAGAAGATACTGTAGTATTGTATTGGTGCTGTAGTATTGTATTATATTATATTGACAACAGGTGTGTTAAAATTGTCCATGGTGAGGAAGTCAGATTAGTATGTTGTATTCATATAAGAATTTTCACGGCATTGTTTCTTCTCTAAACTCATAACATGCGTGAAGGAATGCGTGAGAGAGGGGATATGAGATTATATACTGTAGGCCCCCCCCCCACATAAAAAGAAACGATAGCAAAACTGAATGCCAGGATTCTTTCTCACCCATAAGCTCTCAGACCTTTTGGTCTCCAAGCCAGTGTTTTAATAAATGTGATGGTTTATGGCTACCAGCCAGAGGCTTTTTAGCTGGTATGCAGATGCACCATTCAATTTCCTCATTTGTTTAAAATAAATCATTTCCTTGTTGAATAAAAGCCAAAGTGTCTTTGTGAATAGAGTGAAGAACTGCTCTATAAATGCACCAGAGCTTATCTTTCAGCTCTGCCTATACTTGTGTTCAATGTGACGCAAGAAAGAGAGCAATGAGAAACTTAGATGTTATCTGGATATGCATAATGCAAACTCATGGAAGCTCCATTTCACTAATGGATATATATATATATATGAATATATGAATGAATGAATGAGAGAGAGAGAGAGAGAGAGAGAGAGAGAGAGAGAGAGAGAGAGAGAGAGAGAGAGAGAGAGAGAGAGAGAGAGAGAGAGAGAGAGAGAGAGAGAGAGAGAGAGAGAGAGAGAGAGAGAGAGAGAGAGAGAGAGAGAGAGAGAGAGAGAGGGGTATTATTGCTTGGCTGGTGTGGTATAGACAAAGATATTACAGAAAGACGGTTCACTCCTATTATTTATGAATGGGAGAAAGTGCAATGCGCAATATGGCGGAATAAGTTCCGCCTTCTAAATGAAAGAGCAAATCGGATTGTTCATGAGCATTAGCTTGGTCCAGCATGAAAAATGCAGTTTTTTGTCATGATTTGATCGAGATTTATGAGACGGTTGTTGTTAGATTTCATTGGTGATTTCAAATATGAAATTTAATCGTAAATTTGACAAACTGTTTTGGAGAATTCGATGTTTGCCTATTCAAAGAGATAGGAGCTGCACTTGCATGCCCGAGAGGCGTTGCAAAGATGGCCACCGAGTGAAATGACTTGTCTTAAGTCATTTATGACCTTATACTTATACCTTATACTTTGGTATAGATTTATCAGGCCCTGGATGCAAATTGCTAAATATAGCCAACTATAAGGATGGTTTTCTGCTGAAAATTTTACATATTGATCACCATCATCCATTTGTTTTGTGTTTTTGCCTTGCAAACCTGAACATTTGTTTTTTTGTATTCTGTGTGTGGTTCTCAACTGTTTTGACTCCAAGGTCCCCTACTGCCCACAAAAAATATTCAACTGTTTCCATGATGTTTCCAGTTGTTCATGATGAACTGAATAAGGATTAAATATAAGTATTTTTTTTTAAATATTAAAAATATTTTTTTACCCTATTTTGGTGCTTTGGATAAGTTTGCTGAAGTCCCCTGGTTGAGAACCATGTTCTACATTGTCACAAAGGATAACATTATCTAAAATGGATAACATATGAGGTTTTGTAAACCCTGAAACCCTGTTTTGAAGCAAACTGCAAAAAAAAAAAAAAAAAAAAGAAAGCTTAGTGAAAGTTTTGAAATCATCAGTAAGAATGTCTTCAAATCGTCAATAAAGATGTGCAGTGTACTCCTATGTAATGAAGTTACATTATATCTGTATAATGTGCAGCTTGCTATGAATTTTCGTTTTGTAAATAAATAAAATTAGTGAAGAATTTTGTAAAGAAAACAACATTGAATGAAAACCATTTATATTTGTAGTTCTCAGTTTTAAAATATAGCTTTTTATCCATTTACAAACCCAAATGAGATCAGATTCATGTACAATAGAGCAGTGTGCCTGAGCCTCAGAGGACAGTCAAGACATCACTGCTGGAGTCTCCATCATAAACAAACACTTACAAACAATGACACTCCTCATCACGCTGTAAACCCCATCGATAGTATCATCCCTATGGCAACAGACCCCACAGCAACCAAAAAAACACAGGAAAGCAGCCGATGGCACCGCATTAGCGATCAGTGTGTGAGAGGAGTCAGTGCTCCCAGATAGGGTTGGGAATCGAATACTTGAGGTCAGGAATCGGATACTTGTTATAAAATGAAAATTTTGATTCCTTTATGAGTGTTTCAATATGACTTTTCAAGCGCGCTGTTGTTTGTGCTGCACTCATCCAAAGCGCGCTCACAGAAAAAGTGATTTTAAACTAGGGATGTCCCGATACCACTTTTTCACTTCCGATACCGATACCGATGCCGCAGCTTTGGCTTTTGCCGATACCGATATTAATCCGATATTTTTATTTTATTCTTAAACTAATAAAAAATATAGCAATTTTCTCAATTAGCCACCTAAAATATACCTCCTATATAGTCCACAACAACAGTTGATTATGAAAGATTGCCACCCTTTATTCAAATACTACAAAAAAATAAAGAAATATATAAATGAAAGAAAATACAGGTACTTCAGTAATTAGCTAGCTACCAACAGGCTTAAAGTTAAAACAATTTAAACAGCAGCATTCTACATTGTAAATACCAGTACAGTTTTTGTTTTTTAAATCAAGTCGAATTTCTATAACTGTGTGTTAAACTGATTATCACTCTTGTGTGTGTTAAACACAATCTACTTAATACAGACAGCTTCATTATAAAGATAAACAACAAATCCCCAAAATATATTATCATAATCTATGACAAAAATGCTATTATAAACTAGATTAGTGGATAATACACATTGCTCTTTTTATTGTTGTAAAATACATTCATGAAAAACAAGATAACAAAAATGAAAAAGATAATTATTTTAGATATAGCTAAATCTGCTATAAAATTGAGACATGTTTTAAGTGTATTGCACAGCTATTTAATGAGGCAGCAAAATTAATAATTATTAATGTTAATAAGCTTTAATTGCGTCACTGCATTATGATATGAAAGGCTCCAATACAGTGCGGCACAGAGCGCTTATGTGCATCCCGAGCGGAGAATGATGCGCTTGAAGCCACGTGGAGTTACAGCACGCAGCGCGTC